CAACCACCCCTCATTATGTACGATGCATAAAGCCAAATGATGAGAAGCAGCCTTTTGAGTAAGTATGTTAGTGGTGTTGAGCTGTTGTATTATTGTAAAAATTAACACAGTTTTTTTGTTTCACATTAGCTGCATTGTTGCTGTTGAACAACTTTCCATACAGAATATTTTTTTATTTTCAAGATAACTGAAATAAAAAAACATCTTACAAAAATAGTAGTAATTCAGTAATAATTGTTAATATCTTATAAATTCCTTATTATGATGAAGATCTTCAAGTTAGATATTAATGTTTGTGCATTTGTCATAACATTTAGGGGAAAAGGTTGTCTTACCTTTTAAACTGATAGATATTTTCTATACTTGTTATTTCTGTGTAGTATGGACTAGTATCCCTTCATATTTAGGGAATAAAAGCCACTGCCGTTTTTTTATGATCTTCACTTTTGTCCACAGAAATATTTATAACATTAGAAGTCAGAAAAGCCAAACAAAAGTTTGTTTCATTTTACTCTTACAGTCATGCATGCTCGATAGTTGTGTTTGCATAATTCCTGTGTCTAGTTGATAACCACCAACTAAGTAGGAGTTAGTGAGAGTAAGTAGGAGTTGGCCTTGACGCAGCTATTGGTTTGTTTTGTGGAAGCTCTTTAGTTTCAGGTATACAGCTTTTAATTGAAAGGTAACGTACTGACAAATGAAATATACGCCTTTGTCATAACTGAGAAAGAGGCAAACATTGCTGTGTTTCTAAGTGAATTTTTATTAGTATTAGCTCATTTTCTTGGAGCCAGACAAAATCTTTCCATGCAAAACATAACAAATATCACAGTTTCATTGTCCCTGTGCTGAGACCTGATTGTTTAGTGTAATAGCAGTGAGGAGGAAAACAGCTTTGGTAATGTAAAACTATGTGTGAATTAGACCACAAAAACATACTGTAAATTTATGAAAGTACAACACAGTCTTCTGTGAGCCACAGGTATCTCTTTGCTAGTACTGGATCGGCACTAGCTTAGTGCTTTGTGGGCCTAGCAACTCTGGTCCAGAATTGGAAAGGGCCTTTCCGTGCCTTTTGTTAGAAATTTTAAACCAAGGTATTCTTAAGTAAAATTTCTTGGCGTGATAAAGAATACCTAGAGAGAGTTACTTCCCAATAGATTGCTGAGAGAATTTATTTCTGTGTTGTTTTTTTTGTTTTGTTTTGTTTTGTTTTGTTTTCCTAAACACAATTCATTGCCTTTTGCTGATAGGAGCTTTTTTGAGGAAAAAGAAAATTCAGATACTTTTTTTTTTTTGTATGTGATAAGGAGTAAGTCACTATGTATAAAAAAAAAAAAAGGGAGCCCTGTGTCCTATGAACAGAAATAGAATTCCAGCTAGTAGAATTGTTTTCATTATTATGTCAAGCTCAGCAAAAATGTAAAACATAACTTTGCTCTTTTAGGTTTGACTCAAAAAGGGTGGCTCAGCAACTGCGAGCATGTGGTGTTTTAGAAACTATTCGAATTAGTGCACAGAGCTATCCATCCAGGTAGGTATAGCAGTTGGTCTCCATAAGTCAAAAAAATAACCAAAAACCCACACTACCTTTTTTTAAAAAAAACAAATTGCATTTTGCTACCTTTTTATTTTCCAGGTGGACTTACATTGAGTTTTTCAGCCGTTACAGCATTCTTATGACACAGCAAGAACTGTCTTTAAATGATAAGAAGCAGATTTGCAAGATTGTTTTGCAGCGGCTAATCCAGGTTAGTATGTGTGCACTGTTCCGTTATGTATTGTAGCATCTGCTGTTAATTAAAGGTCTCTTTTCCCAAGTGTAGTACAGGAACTTAAACGGGGATAACACACTTACGTTATTACTGTCTTTCTTGATTTAGTGTGTAGAACATAGGCTTGCAAGTCTATAACCTCATATTGTCATGCTGAGTCATGATGTGACCATAGGCAGATGATTTCATCTCTCTGTGCTTAATATCTTCATTTTTTAAATGACAGATACTCTACCTATATCTGCAAGTTAGTAAGTAGTAAATGATTTGCATTTACCAGTACTAGAACTTTATGCACACAACGGTGTTACACAGCATACTGAAGAACTGTTCTAAAAAAGTGCTATTTTGCATGTTGTGTGTTGAAACCAAGACTCTTTCCCAACAGAGTATTTGACAAGGCCTTTGTAAACAGGTTAAGCAAGTTGTGTTTACTGTTCAGTTTACTGTAATGTGTTTTTTATTTTCCCCACCAATATAGAACTGAAAACCCTGGGTCCTCTTGCTTGTAGTTTTAGAAATACCTGATTGCTTTTTGTGTTTTGAGCGTCCTTGAATATGTATATATTTTTTTCCATTCGTCTGTCCTGTCTCTACAACACAGAGCTATATATTAGCATTTATTCACTACCTTCCATCTCAGAGGTGGCCGCAGTTCAATAATTTGTAGGTTTTGGGGAACACCAAGAATAAGCAGAGGCCATCACTGACAAGGCACAATTGTGTAGTTCCTGTTTTTTAGACAAGTCTGTATTGATGAGACAGGTCCAAGTCAAGCCAGTGATTCAAGTCAGTATGTCAGAACTGAGTTCTAACTCAGGGATGTACAAAACCAAACACCGGTGTACTTGCAGCCTAGCTCCAGCAGAGTCCAAGAACACTCCAACAGAGTCCGAGAGTGAGAGCCTGAGCATAAAAGCTGCTTCTTCCTTGAGCTTTTGCTCTCAGAGCTCACAGATTCAAGGCTAGATGTGCACCCAAAGGTAGTTTTAAGTCCAAGGAACCGAATTCCTCTGAGAGGGATAAAGACATTTCTTTCAAGACCTTGATGATAAGTCCAGACCCTCCTTTTAATTTGATCCTTTTAATCTGTTTATTTCCTGCTTTCTGGCTTTCCCCTCTGTCATATACTCTTGTATATAATGAAGACAGAGAGGACATTCTTATTTGGCAAGATCATGTCACTTCAGAATAGCTTGGTTAAAGTGACGATTTATAAAAGGAATAGAGTGTTTGGTCTACAATAACAGAATAAAAAATTAATATATCGTTTTCTTTTCCAGGATCCTAACCAGTATCAGTTTGGGAGAACAAAAATTTTCTTCAGAGCAGGGCAGGTTGCTTACTTAGAAAAGCTACGATCAGATAAACTGAGACATGCATGCATCATGATCCAAAAGAGCGTTCGAGGCTGGCTGCAGCGGAAGAAATTTCTTCGCATAAAACAAGCAGCTGTTACAATACAGCAGTATTTCCGTGGGCAGCGGACTGTACGGTATTTTTGGCTGATAAATTAGCTTGTTTTTGGGGCATGCCTTAAGGGATCTAGAAGATCAAACTCATACGCAGCACTAATTTGGAAGTGTAATTTTTATGTAAGAATAATCCAGATTGTATTTTTATCCTCTTTATTGTAATGATGTACTTGAAAAAGTTCAGGTTGTTTGGCTGATGAGAAGAAAGGCAATTTAGCAGATTTCAAATGTCTGCCAGATTCCTGAGAGGCCTGTCTACCTTTGAGGAGCTTAGTCTTTAACCAGTGATATGTGACCCAGTAGTTGGCTTAGGGTTACTGCTTAGCTTTAGAGCCAGAGAAGAAATCAGGAAGCAGAAAGGAAAATCAGCTTGCAAGGATCTACAAATTAGTTTGTACAAATTATTAGGAGGCATTGTGCAGCCAAGAAATAGTACAAGTCATTCAAAAAGCAGATGGAGGAGGGAGATGGCTGTATCTAGCCTTTGAAATTTTCAGAAAGACACCATCAGAAAATTGCTTGTGAAAAAAGGCATGAAAGTTTGTGGGCTGCTCCCCCTACTCCATTTTCATGGAAGAAAAAGCTGTGTTTCAGATGGTGGAAGCTTGTTGTCAGTATCTTCTGCTTCTAGAAACTATCACCCTGAAGTAAGCCAGTGCTATGTGAGTTTACTGAGCTCTAGTAAGCTGCATGTTCTGTTTTCTGTGCATGTGGCCTGTAAGGAGGACACCCCAGCCATTGTAGCTATCAGCTCACATGAAATCCAGAAAATAATTCATATACAAGGCTCTCAAATTGCTCTTGGAATCTTCTCCCCCAGTTCAGGGTTTAATTAGCACCCAGCAGTTACGAGCTGGGATTGACCATGGCACTTGAGTTGAGATCTGGCCATATGTAGTATGGAAAAGTGGTAACTTTTCCTTCCAGGAGCAACCTAAATGGAACAAGATACTCAGTAAATACACCCACCTCCTTTAGGGGACCCTTCATTGTTTTGGTCCCAATTGCACCTCCATCTTATACTTGGTTGATACAACTTTGCTTTTGTTAGTATAAACTAGTTGCATTGCAACTGTTGTCATGGAAGTAAGACTAAAATCTGTGTGTTTCACTAAAAGGAAATAGTTCTACATGATATTCACTGCCAACCAAACTATTTTTGTGTGATTTGTCTGACTGAGGGAATGAGCATGAGAAATCTAATGTGATCTAAGTGCACTTTGTCTTTTGAAGGCAAGCCATAACTGCAAGAGCTCTGAAGCAAACATGGGCAGCTATAGTAATTCAGAAATATTGCCGAGGTTACCTGGTCCGTAAACTTTGCCAGCTCATCCATGTGGCTGCTGTAACAATTCAAGCTTTTACAAGAGGATTTCTAGCAAGAAAAAAATACCGGAAGGTACAGCCTATTAAAAATTCTTATTTCAGTAGCTGGAAACAGCTACTGCTCTATAAGAAAGATGGAGACAAGGGCAGTGATCCCTATTACTTTACCTTTTGCATGTCTGGTACTCGTATCTTCTATTCTTTTTCTATACATTTTCTGTAAAAGTATTGTTACACGGTTGTTTAGATATAATCTCTGAACTGCTAAGAGTTCTTAAGAACTAAGAATCTGGTTTCTGTGTGTGCAGTCTGAGTATTTTAGTACTTTGATACCTCTGACAGAAGCATAGAAATGTGTATAGATTCACAGAACACTTTACTTGATGCTGATTGAGCCACAAATAATTACAGACATATGTAAATGTTTTCTTTTAAAGATGCTTGAAGAACACAAGGCTGTGATCCTTCAGAAATATGCCCGTGCATGGCTTGCCAGGCGCAGATTTCAGAATATTCGGCGGTTTGTATCAAATATCCAGCTTTCATACAGAGTTCAGCGACTGCAGAAAAAGATAGAAGAACAGGTGAGGAACACCAGTCAGTTTATGATTTGTACTGTCTTTTTGTCATATCTATTTGTTAACTAGAGACTTCTGTGAATTATGATATCCATAGTTTTCTTTACAAGACATGGAAATACAGTGGGAATATTGTAAGGGATATAATCCCTTATTATCTAATAATATCATATATTATTTTTCATTATAATCTTGTAGTTATCATTAAATATTATGATCTAATAACTGCTCTGGATCAATATATTTAATAACTTTGGGGAATCCTGTATTATGTTCCTTTCATAGCTTATTTTTGAGTCATACCAGTCCAATTATCTTTAAGATAGTAGCTTTAACCTAGTTGGTGGAAACAATCTGTTTTTGAAATAATCACAACTGACCTGGAATCATGAGCAGAAATAGGTCAGATGCATCTTCCACAGCTGAGGAGCAGCAAAGCATAGATTGTACTGCCAACGAGTTGCTTGAAAGTAATTCTCTTCAGCCATGAAGAGTTCTACACAAAAATAAGTTTGATTATTGAAGTATAGAGCTGATTTCTGACAGTAATTTTTTAGGGGAATATACTAAGAGACAATGCTATTAAACAGTTTCAAGTGTGATTTCTTTTGTTTTATTTTACCTGTCTTGCTCAATGTAGAGTAGAGAAAATCATGGCTTGTTGGAACGATTGACCAATCTGGCTTCAACTCATATGAATGACTTGGATACAATTCAGAAACTTGAATTAGAGCTTGAAAAGTTAACTGCTCAAAAGAGAACATATGAGGAGAAAGGGAAAAAATATAAAGAGGACAGTGAACAGGTACATTTTCCTTACTTTTTTTGGTGCTTATATTTTAGTTGAAAAATTTTTCATTGCTGGATTTATCAAATGCATGATTCTGAGTGTTGCTAAGTAAGTTCAGTTTTTGTGGGGTGATGAGGAAGGATGAAGTTTGTATATACTTCTTAATTGTATCTTTTGCTTATTTTTTGTGTGTACAGAAAATCTTCAAACTTGAAAATCAGAATAAAGAATTACGAGAACAGAAAGAGACCTTAGAAATAAAGCTCCAAGAAAAAACTGAGGAAATGAAAGGTACAATAATTAACAGGAGTTTTAAAGGAGCAGGTGAAAGTTGTAAAGTCAGTTTTACAGCAAATGTAAATGTGTATATATATGTATATATATAAAAATTCTGAATTTACAGAAAATTGAAAGTTGGCTCTAATCTTCTCTTATTTGAAGCTACTTTAGAATGTGTAGGGCAAATGCTTTTAGTATAATAATTAAATGAAATTTGTTCTTTGAGTAGCAAAAGCTCTGCTCTTACTGCAATTCCTATCTTAGAGATAGCATGTGCATTCCTTTAAAGTGTCTCTTTGTCCTTTATTCCTTTAATATAATGTTTTTAAGAATTTAGCTTTGAAGGATTCAAGCAACACATGATATTAAGTAAACTTTAGAGGAATAAAATTTTGGTGCTTCAGAACTGTTCTGTAGCATTATTTATCAAGTTTACTGTTATAATTCTTGACATTTTAGATAATTTGTGTATAAAAATAGTTTAAAATATATTAAAGATTGCTTATTAAAACAAAACAAAACAAAAACTTCTCATTTTGATAACACTGTTTTAATAAATACACTTAATTGCCTGAAGGTCTTTGAAATACTGCAATATTTTTTGACAGAGAAAATGGATGCCCTCACGAAGCAACTCTTCGATGATATACAAAAAGAAGAAAGTCAGAGAATGTATGGAATCTGAACTCAATTTTTTTGAAACATCCATTTTTTTCTTTCTCTGCCTTTCTTTTTCCTGCTTTAAATATAATCACATCACTTACGAATCTGTTAGTATTCTTGAACAGTAATGCTAGTACTGAAGTTCTTTATGTACTTAGTTGAAGAAGAGCACATGATTGTGGGTCAGTCACATGCAGAAAATTATACTGAAGACTTAAGACTTCTTGTTTTTGCAGTTTCCTGTCTTTTCATGTATCTTCAAAAATTAAAAGGAGCCCTTGATAATGATGGTGTTTTTGGATATCCTCAGTATTCAGACATTTAGCAAGGCAGCTGATGGCCATACCAGTCAGATTTCCTGTGAAGTAATTGTTAAACAGCAGAACTGAAAGATTCAATGTGAAGGAAAGGCAGGAATTTTAAATTTTTTAGGTTAAAAATATAGGGGAAAAACTTTTTTCCCCTTTGCTATACTCTTTGCAGGTTTAAACATATTTTTAGCAATGTGGTATGACATTCTCAGATCAAAAAAATATTACTGTTTTTATGGAAGAGTTTTACAATAGCTCTTTACCAATATATGACAGAGAACCATAGGTACCAAAGAAATGCTGTCCTCTGAAATTTGAAGAGTGCACTGAATCTGTTTCTGAGGCTCGGAAGCTGTGTTCTGCTTCAGTTCAGTCTGATATCAGTTACAAAATACTTCAGAGTATAATAAGAGAACTTTTTTGGGGGGGGTTCTGCTTTCCCCATTAACAGTATTATGTTGGAAGCCAGTCCATTCCAGCAGGTGCCAGTAGAAAATGCCAAGATTCTTCCATTGTGTTACTGAGAAGGACATGGGGCTTTCTGCTGCTACGTCCTTCTTCAGTGTGCCTCTGTAAATGTAGCAGAGAGTTGTTTAAGTAGGCAAAGAGTTAGAGAATTAGCCTTTAAGTGGAAAAGTTCGGTTCTGTCTTGAATACAGTCCCAATACCTGAATAGGATGTAGGGAAATACAGGGACATTCTTATCTCATTATCATTCATTTTGTAGGTTCATTCTAAGGATGTAGGGTAGCATTTTCAAGCAATTACAGTTCATTTAAGCTTTCTTAACTGAAATATGCCCTTCAAATTAAAAGAAAAACACAGTCCCCTCTTTCACTTCTAAGTTCAGGAAAAGAAAAACATCTTTTCATTGTCTTGTTTAGGATACTTGAGAAAAAAATCCAAAATCAGAAACATGATTATGAAAAGGAGATTGAATTGCTCAAGGGAGAAATTAAGGTTCTCAAAGAAGAAAAATCTCAGCTACAGCAACAAATTCAGCAAGAAATTATCATTCAGGATGGCCTGAAAATAGAAGTAGGGCAACTTACAAAACAAACGCAGGTAAAGTATGACGCAATGAATTTTGGAGTCTTTTCAGGATAAAGCAAGTAGACAATGTGGATGTTTTATTTATAGATTATTTTCATTGTTTGTCCTCAAGAACATTTTGGAACAAATAGTAATTAATAAGATGTATTTTATAAATAACTATGTTGTATCATTTTCGTGTAGTACTCAATAGAAGTTATTGCTCACAAAAAGAAATGCATGTTTTCAAGAGTATGACTAATTGTGCATGAACATGGATTTTAATGTGTGGAGCTTTTTTCTTCCTTTCTGTTCTGCTAAGAAACGGACGCTTTAAACAACACATTTTAAGCCTTCTAGCATATGAACTTGTTTGTATTAATAATTATCTTTATGAATTAACTGATACTTAGCCCTTGTCATTCACTTTCTGTCTCATTCTGTAATTCATGTCTGATTAAGAAAATACCTGAGTTGCAAAAGGAAATTGAACTGCTGCAGACACAAAAATTGGATGTTGAAAAGCAGGCCCAGTCACAGAAGCGGGAAATGAGGGGTAAGCTACACATTAGATAATTCAGGGAACTTCCCAAGCATGATGTGAACCAAGCCAGTTTAAATTTTTTTTTTCTCTGTTTGCTAGGATTGAAAAAATAATAATAATTTAAAAAAAAATCTTTCTCGTTCCAGAGTGATTTAATTCAATTCACAGCTTTACTTGCATGGGGTAAAACAAAAACCATGTGAGTTTTATGAAGTAATCATTGAGTACCAAGAAACTGATTTCAAATTTTTCTTCTTTTTGTTTAAAAATTAATAATGTAGTTTAAACTTTACTTAGAATTTTAAAAGAATCTCATAGTGACCCAAGAATATGGAAATATACGTTATTTGGCCTTCATTCAGCCTGTCGTTAGCCTCAGGTCTCATAACTGTCTGATACGCTTAAATAACTTGCTGAACTGGGGTCTCTTTGAGAAAAGGTACCTAATAAGAGCACTGCTGTTGTGCACTTTGTACAATGCTAAGAATGTGTCTTATAGGGCAAACCTGTATCTGCAGCATTTAATGTAGTAGGCTAGCACAAGAAGACAATCTGTATAACTGCAGCAGTTGTCTAGATCTAGAACAGAAAGATGGAACTTTACAGTGAAAGTTTGATGTGTTTTAAAAAAAAAACAAAAAACAAAAAACAATATTAATAGTGTACCTTAGTACACTCATATACCTCATATTCTGGTAGTAAATATTTACTTAGTACCAGGAAAGAACCTTACAGATTCTGGAAGAGATTGGTTTTATTTTTATAATGATAACTTAATTGGAAATATGAGAAGGAAATTATTCATATGATAAACTTTTTTTTTTTTTTTCCAGAAAAGATGTCGGAAGTTACAAAACAGCTTCTGGAAAGTTACGATTTTGAAGATGTAAGAAGCAGGTAATTTTGTTTTGAGGTCTCTTTTTAAAAAAATAAAAGTATATATATATGTATATATATAAGGAATGCATTTTGTTTACCTGCACACTAACAATACTGCCTTGTATTCTAGACTGTCTACAGAGGATTTGGAACACTTAAATGAGGATGGAGAATTGTGGTTTGCTTATGAGGGCTTGAAAAAAGCTACGAGGTTAGTCCAGTTCTTCAATGTTTTTCATAACTCCAAGCTGTGATCTAGAAGATAAACAGATAAGTGAGTAATTGATTTGGCAGTGTGATTCTGAACACCTGTTTAATAAATTAACCAACACTATGTTATATGATTGACTGAGTAGCTTTAACTCACTTTTAACTAATTCACTAAGTCAGTGAAATGTGTGCATGTTTTCAGTCTGGGAAATGTTTCCTTAGAGGTATCACACATACCTTCAAATTCTTTTAATGCCCAGGTAATGCAATGACATATCTGCATGTAGAACACTTTTTTCACTTTGTATGAAACTTAACCCGTTGCATTGAGGTCATTACCACATCAGCAATTTTTTTTTTTTAATAGAGTATTGGAAAGTCACTTCCAGTCTCAGAAAGAAATCTATGAAAAGGAGATCGAAGGTTTGAATTTCAAAGTTGAACATCTTAGCCAAGACATTAATCATCTACAAAAATTATTTCGAGAGGAAAATGACATAAATGATGGTATTCGACTTGAAGTTAGCAGGCTAACTTCAGAAAACATGGTAGGTATAGTAAAGCCAAAGTATCTTACTGTTACTTAGTAGTTCAACCCAAAACAGTTTGTGTCACAGAGTCCTCAAAATCTTGAAGTCATGTCCTTGATTCACAAGGTTCAAACAGTTGTGGCCATCTAAGATTGCACATCCATACAGGCTTTTTCCCTGCATGCAAGGATAACATGTTAGAATGCAGCTAAAGTTATTGTCTAAGTGTACAGCTTGTTGGGGCAGCCTCACAGAGACCTTTTTCTCTAAACCCCCCCCCCCCTCCTTTTTTTTTTTTACATAAACCTGATTATGTTATTTTAATCACAGATTGGCAAAATACTGTTTTACAAACTCTGACTTTGGCAACCCACGACCAGCTTCAGATTTGTATTATACTTGAGGCGTTCAAATTTAGAATTTAGTTTTTCTCCCCCTGTAGTCAAAGGGCAGAAACTAGCATCTTTTGATCTGAAGCCTCTTTAAAGCTGTCTCTGTCTCTCAGCTTGAAAAGTTCTGTGATTTGGTTGTCAATTAAAAAACAGATGCCTGAGGGGCTAGATTATGCAGTTTTGAGGTACTCTCCACCAGGGGGCAGCTAACCATATAACGTCGCTAATACATTGCAGGCAGGACTTAAAAAATTTTAACTGGTTATTAGTACTGTGTAAAAACCTATCTAACATCAAGTGCTATCATACTAGAAGACCATATGTACTGTATCATTTTTTCTGCTAAGTGAAGTATAGCTCTAGAAATATTTTCAAAACAAACTTCATAAAATTGAAAACACAACAAAAAGTAACTAATAACATTATTTCTTAAAAATGACAACATACTGATCTTTTTCCAAAGTTAACCAAGCTAGGAAAGTTAATTGTCTAATTTCCTTTAAACTACAGAATATAAGAATAGTAGTATTGGGTCAGTCCAAATATTTGTTAGCTCCCTAATTTTTAGAGTGTCTGACAGCAGATGCCTCCAGAAAAGTTATGTAATTCAGGCAAGTACTTTCCCACAGTGTCTTCCCAGTCTTTACCTATTTGCAGTTGAAGGTCTTCTGATGTCATAGGTAACATTACAGATGTTTCAAAATGAACATGCTGAGATATGCAAGTGTCCTTTTTCTCTAAAAGGTGATTCCAGATCTCAAACAGCAAGTTTCTGAACTTGAAAATCAAAAATTAGATCTTGAAAACCGTCTTCAAGAACAGACTATAAAGTTGAAAGGTAAAATACCATTGTGGTCATCGGTCTTATAGTTGAGAGGTGCATAATGAATTTCCTAGGCTTGAATGTGTAAAAGCTGAAGCAGCATTACTTCATTGCCTGATTACTTACTTAAGTGCCAGTAAAATGTAAAAAACACCATGAAAGAAGTGCTGTATAGTTTATAGCTCTGTTATTAAACACAAATATATGCAAATATGTGCACTTCTTTCATTTTTGAACTTTTTTGTCATTTAGTTCTGTGGTTTGGATGTATGCAAGTGTATTCAGCAGGGCTAAGAATATATGAAACAAAGTATGCTCTTTGGAAACAGTCAAGAAGGAAAGATGATTTGGAACTTAAGTTGTACTCCATGAGGTGAAATTCAGAGGGTGTTGAAAAAGTCAGAGTAGGAGATGGGGAAATGTTCGTGTTAAATTTGCTTGTTTGAAAGTACTTCTCTATTTAGGAGAGCATAAGTTGCTGTGGGTTCTGTGTCTCTAAGTGTAATGTCTTCTTCCTTGGCAACTTATTTTTTAAAAATTTACAATTTGTTTGACTGTCAACTGTAAGAAGTTAGTTATGTCAAAATTCCATATCACGTATAATCTTCTGTGTACAATTTTTAAATATTTCTCTGCATTATGTGATGATATTCAATTTTGTTACAAAAAAAAAATGAGTATAAGAAAAGATTTTACTAAATACAAGTACAGAACAGTAAGTAAATGTGATCTTATTTTCTTGTGTTGAAAGAGATGTCTAATCAGCTGCATCATGAGCCAGAAGGGGACAGAACACTAAGGAGGTAAATAGATCTATGTTTCCTTTTTTTTTTTTTTTCTTTAATATTTTAATATATGTAAGTGCTATAGGCTGGGCGTAACAATCACGTATAATTGAAGTACACATCCAAAATAAGATTCACCTTGCAGCCTTGAATACAGCTCATAGGTAATGGGCAAATATGATATGACTGTGCTTTAACAGAAGAACAGTAAAAGACAAAGCTTCCTGTCTGTTTCTAGAAAAAATGAGGCACAGAATGAAATAAACAGTAAAAGCCAAAGAGAGATTGAATGTCATAACCCAAGAAATCGAAGGTCTGAGCAACGGTTTGAAGCAAGATGAAATCCATGATGAAGTAAAAAGCAAGATAAAGCAAGAAACAACTCGACTTACTGTGGAAAACATGGTGAGGAAATGAAATCCTCATTAAGAAACTGTACCTGAAATGCAAGATAAAAAGAAAGAAATCATGATTGTATAGTATGGGCAGCATGTTTTCTCAGTTCATTGGGGAGAAAAAAGGTAGAGAAGTTTCATTTTTCTTCCACTGAATATAAGTAAAAATACATTGTAATGGTTTTAATTGTGGCAATAGCATGTAGCAGTAGAAAGCATTTCTTTATTGTGATTTCTCTGAACTCACTGACTTTGATTATTACAGGATCTTGAAGAAAAACTAGACATGAAAGATAGAATAATTAAAAAATTGGAAGATCAGATCAAAACTCTTACCAAGACTATTGAAAAAGGTAAAATATTGTGTGATTATTAGTAGTAGTAGCTTTGGAAGTTCAGTGTGTGTTGTAGAGGAGGTAGATTTACAAAACTGAAAAAAAAAAAAAAAAAAGTAGGGTTTTGGGGTGGAGTTAGAAATTTAAAACCTCAGGAAAAAGTGCCAGGTAACCATCAACAGAAATTTTATAAAAGCTCCTTCCTGTATTTTTTTTCCCAGCTAAATAATAGGCACATATGAGACCTAGAGTATATGATAAAGTTTAATTCAGAGGCATCAGGTTCTGCCAATAAAAGTTAATACATATCCTCACATAAGCTGTCTCTGAGAATAGAATGTTAGTTTTGCATCAGATGAGTTTCTCCTGACATAGGTCTTCAGATGGCAGGTAGTTACTGATACGAAGTTAGTTTGTACAAAATTCTTACATAGCAAGTAATTCTTCGCTGTAGAATGTACTTCAAATGGATGCAGAAGTAACTAATGTAGAGGTGTGCCACTGCTATTTAATTGCCTTATTCGTGTAAGTAATTCCACTGAATCCAGAGAAACTATTCACATGAATAATATAAATATTATTTAACTCACTGCTTGGAACTGTAAGCTAAAAACATTAATGTGAACAGAGCCTGTACTCTATTAAAGAGAAACTGCTTTTCTCCAGTAGTTTGTTCTAACATATGAATGATGACTGAGTCATTTATCTGCAGTTAACAGTGCTTTATGTTTGACAGTCAATGAAGTTCACGTGCCAACTTTGTCCAAAGAGTACATTGGAATGATGGAGTACAAAAAAGAGGATGAAGAAAGGATTGTTCAGAATCTGATCCTTGGTATTATAGTAACACTTCACTTAAGTAACATTTTATCAGTAGTCAGTGATTGTCAGTGTAGAAAAATACAACAAAAACTACAAGATGTTCTCATTTACGTTCAAAGTTGGCTTTATCCCTCTCTCTTACTACTATAACCACTTGGGGATGCTACATTGCTCTTTTTCTACTGCCAGTCATTTCAAATATAAAGAGCTTCATCTGTTTTGCAATCGTGTCTGACTTTTAAATTATTCTATCATCTTCCTTAGTATCTGTTCATTTATAAAGCTGTAAATCTCAGGAGCAATCTAGGGACTTGAGTTTACGTTCTAGTCATACAGGAAGTAATTTATTCTTAGCCATCCTAGTCATCATTCTGATCTTTAAGGTCCATTCCAACCCAAGCCATTCTGTGATCTACTAACTTTTGTAAGTCATTGGGCATATATCCACGTGTGATGTATTAATCTCATCTGTCTTTTCTGTATCGTTCCTTTCACTAAAGGGAACTTTACTTTCATATTTCTCTTGTAGGGGAATTCTGCCCTTTTTCTGAGTTACTTCACAATATCACTCTTAGTGAAAAACCAGATTTTTGCATTAGTTTGCAGTTAATAGTAAACTCAACAATGTTTCCATGCATTTGAGCTTGTCTTTTTCAGAATGACACTTTAAATCTTTTTATTTTTATATAATTATCCTGATCACTCTCCTCTACGCAGATTTAAAGCCACGTGGAGTTGTAGTTAATATGATACCTGGCCTTCCAGCTCACATCCTATTCATGTGTGTGAGGTATGCAGATTATCTGAATGATGCTGACATGCTGAAATCTTTCATAAATGTAACCATTGATGGTATCAAACAAGTTGTTAAGGTAGGAATTATGTTTGGCTGTATTGTACTTTTTGATTTTTATGTAAGGTTTATGAGATGCATGCACAATACCTGAGAAATGCTGACACTTTCATTTGCTAGTATTTCTATAATGAATAATTATTATTAGTGACACTCTTTTTTTCCTGTTAGTAGTAGTATGCATATAAAGTCTCCAGGTAAGGTTCCACTGTGCTGAACACTGTAACACAGTAACATGTACTAACAGAGATTACCTTTATCTGAAAAGGTTGTTGGCAAAACCATTTAAAGTATTTTACATCAAAAAATGAGTAGCTAATTAGGTTTTAAGTGCAACTGTGCTTTCAGCACAGGTAAAAGTTGGATGGACAGAAATGAAGGTTAGTGTATTTGTCAGTAGACAGGTTTGGTTTTTTGTTTTTTTTGTTTGTTTGTTTGTTGTTGTTGTTTGGTTTTTTATTATTATTATTATTTTTAAAATCAGAGGGTTTTGTACTTCTGTTCTACTAGAGTAACGTTTTCTTGGCATGTTATTTGGTATTTCAGCATTAGTACCTGAATGATTAAGGTTACTTTGCCAGCCAGTTTACAAAACCAAGATATATATAAGAATCATTCATCTGTTATCTCACCTACATTACAAATTCAGCTATGTGAATGCTTTATTGTGGATTTAGAATGTAGTAAAACACCAGGCATGCTTGGTAACACAGGTGGGAATGGACCATGGCTTATGCAGTTGAATTTGTTATGTAAAGAATGCCTGTGGTTGGTTCACACGCACACACAAAAAATTATACAACATTTTATCCATAAGAAAATGCTTGTGCATATTAGGCTAACAAAAATAAAATGTGTAGTTAGGATTGTGTTTATATGTAATTCAGTTTCATTTCTATATACAGGCATTGTTCTCACTTTTGCAGGAAGGCCTCCAGTACACCATCTCACTACACATAGAAATGTGTAAAACTACTTAAGACTAATGTATTTAGCGCCTCTCATATAAGAATTAACTAATGTTTAACAAATAAAAGAGGGGTCTTTTTTCTGTATATATGTTAACCTAAAAAAAAAAAAGATTTGTACAGTTAGCATGTTACAGACGCTGTTATGTTACTTCTGCCTTAGATGTGTGCTATTATGCCAACTCTGTAGTAGTCTTAAGTTTCATCTTTGAAATTAAGCTAACTTAGTAAGACAATGCCATTATAAGTTTGCTCTGTCATTTTCAGGAAAATTCAGAAGATTTTGAGATGTTGTCCTTTTGGCTTTCCAATACGTACTATTTTCTTAACTGTTTGAAGCAATACAGTGGGGAAGAGGTAAGAGTGATTTCATCAAATCATTTCATTACTTTACTTCTGTCAGAATTTAATTCAGTAAGCAAAATAAACAGAGATAATCAATAGATAGTTATTCACCAGGTCATCACTGTTCCTTCAGGATATTTTGATATTTATAATATTGCAATATTTGTATTGCCTTGCAGTGGTGATATATCTTACACAAATAATAAGACAGTATAGAATTACCTGATCAAGTGATTCCCCAAAAAACATAAAAGTGCTAAAGTCAGTTAATTTCCTAACATGGAAACTGTTATGTAAATGGAACTCTATACGTGAATTTAATGTGAGCTGGATTTCAGATGTCCAGCTGCATATATATATAAAAGGGTTTAGTTGCTTTATAATTGTGACCACTTCAAACACTTGCTGCTACCATTATGAGCTAACTGAAGAAATTCTCTGGAAAGGAGCAATATAATACTCTTTTTTTGTCCCTGTATTTAACTTGCTTGTTTAAGTTAAATTTTATCCTGTGATTCAAAATTGTTTTAAATTGCAACTTACATAGACTGAAGCAAAATTGCACAGGCACATCAGGATTAAAGCCAACAGGTGCCATAAAGCCTTGCAATCACAGTAACTGTGTACTGTCTGAACAACAGTACTCCCTCTTGTGGCTATATCGATAAAATCTAAAGAGCAATGAAGAATTTAAAACATTTAAATTCAATAAATAACAATCTTATGTCATGTAATCTCAACAGTAGGGAGTGGTCTGAATCCAGAATTTTGTGTGTTGATCTATGTTTGTAGTGAACACTCAAGACTTCACACAAATTAGGATTCAGCCTAGATTTTTTGAAACAGAATTTTTCTTATGAAAAGTCCAAAAATTAGATCCCTTTGCAGCAATAAAACATACATTATTAATTATCATTTTTAAGCATTTTGCAAGCAGAATTTAAACAACTGTTTTTTTTTTGTTTGTTTGTTTGTTTTTAATTAAATAGCTTGATTTCTGTTTATGTGATCAAGGAATTGCTGCAAAGTCCAATGAAATCTAGGCATGCTTTCCTTTGGTGTTAGTATGCTTTTGAACAGAGTAAGCATGAGCATTAAATGGAATAATAAGTGCAAGGAGCCCAGAGCTAGATGCATCCATTGCAGTTAGCAGTCGCTTTCACTCATTCTGAGACCATTTTGGCCAGAGACAGAATGGATTACTCTAATATATACATTGGAATATAATACCAGTTTATAATGTTATGTGATTTCTGATAATTATATCTACAACTTAATTGTAGGAATTTATGAAGTCTAACACCCCACGTCAGAATAAGAACTGTTTGAAGCATTTTGATCTGTCAGAATATAGACAAATTCTTAGTGATTTGGCCATTCGTATATATCACCAATTCATTATTGTAATGGAGAACAACATTCAACCCATGATCGGTAAGACAGCAAAACTCCAAACACAGTTAAATCTAGTTTGTTAAGTACATGAATAAAGATTACATGTGGAGGGAAGGGATGGGACAGACTTCTTTCTTTCATTTATAGGTGTGTACCTGCATGTGTGTTTCTGCACATATAAATTCCACTGTTACATCCCCACAGGGCTTGGAGAGACTTTTTCCTCTGAACAGTTTCCCTGTATGGTATAATGCTTTGAAACAGACCAGCCTTCTGCAGAAAGAATAGGGTTTTCAAAATTTTTGTGCTCCAGAATCCTTTGTCAGTATTTTATTTTTCTTCTATCATTTAAATTTTAAAATATCTTAAAGTTATATGTAGTTGAAGAACTAAGTTAACGTAACGGAAAGGAGCCTAACGAGTGTTAGTCTTACCAGTTGTTTTTTTATTGTATTTCAGTACCAGGCATGCTGGAATATGAAAGTCTCCAAGGAATTTCTGGCTTGAAACCTACAGGGTTCCGTAAACGTTCTTCTAGTATAGATGACACAGATACCTACACAATGACCTCTATCCTGCAACAACTCAGCTATTTTTATAGTACTATGTGCCAGAATGGCTTGGACTCTGAGCTTCTAAAGCAAGCAGTGAAGCAGCTTTTCTTTCTGATTGGAGCCGTTACCCTCAATAGTCTCTTCCTCCGCAAGGACATGTGCTCTTGTAGAAAAGGAATGCAGATAAGGTAAAGCCAGTAAACTTTCAGCAAGCAGTTGATTGAGAATGAATTTTTAACATTTTAATGTAACCTAGTTCTTTATTATTAAGTCATTAGTTATTCTGTGACCATTCTGCTGGAAGTAGTCAACTGGTTTTTGGTTATGTTTTGTTTTTTGTTTTTTAAACTCTTTTTAAAAAATAGATCTTTGCCTTTTAAGCTAAGCTTTCTCAACCTAAAACAATACAAATCATGCTGTCCATGGAAATGTTGATTTCCATGTAGGAAAATGTTGATTTCCAGGTAGGAAAAGACAGAAAATGACAGTCTAGAGCTCAAAGTTGGTCCTGTGTTCAGTTTTCTTCCTATGCTTGTGGGCTCATGATGATGAATAGTATTTTTAATTCAAAACAGGTAGTGTCTCCTGTCTGGCAAATAGACAAAAGCAAACTTGATTTTTTCATGCTCTGCAGTGAGAAAATCACTGAGACAGAGACATTAAGGATTCTTAGAAGTTGATAAAGAAAGCTTTAGGTCTTCAGTTATAACTCTGATTTGTAATGTGCAAAGATTGTTCTAATCTGTATAAGCTCAGTTGTAAATCACTATTTTAAAGACATATAGTGCTATAACATATTTGCCAATGCCAGTATGTATTGGTATTTTTCTGTAACAAATGGCTAAACTAATAATTTGCTTTCTATTGTCCAACCTTTAAAAATAATAAAAAATGATTTTTATATAAATTATATATATATAATATATATATATAATTTATATATATGTGTGTATATATATATATGTATATGTGTGTATATATATATGTATATATGTATATGTATATATACATATATATATATGTATATATATATATACAGGGGATTAAAATTAAAGATCAGCAGGCTGTAAATTGTCTGATTTTTATGATCTACAGGTATGTTTTGTTCTTTGTTTTTTAACTTAAACTGAATGAATATGAATATTAATATTGCATTAGAGAAACAAAGATTTTAGAAGTCTTTAATATAGCTTGATTGTTAGAGGGAACCTGATGTTTCTGTTGTCTGTTCATGGTTTAACACAGATGTAATATCAGCTATTTGGAAGAATGGCTTAAAGAAAAGAATCTTCAAAACAGTAATGCCAAAGAAACTTTAGAGCCTCTAGCTCAAGCAGCATGGCTCCTTCAGGTCAAAAAGATCACAGATGATGATGCCAAAGAAATATGTGAACACTGCACATCTCTTTCTACTGTGCAGGTAATGAACCATTTGTTTTATTCTGATACTGACTGCAGAATCTTGCCTATCTAAAATAATTTGTTGCAAAGAGCTATTGGCCTTTCATTTGATAAAAGTAGTATTCCTCATCATTCTGTGTCACCACGTGTTATATTGGATTTTTTAACCTCACATTCCTGATCATTAGCATTTTAACTGCTTCTGTGAGGAATATCTGTCTGCCTTGTTCCATCTCATTTTTTATTCCACAGTGGATTTTTGTTTTATTTTGTCAGAGGCTTTTTTTGTTGTTTCCTTTAATCAGTTCAGCTTTCTCTACATCTTCTTGATCCTGCTGACATTCTTGGAAATTATTCATAGCAGTCATCATCTATGTAATAAATTATCAGGTTATCAGTCAAAATTATTGTAAAATTCCTACTGAAACTTCAATTAAATACCAATAAAGATGGTATTTAATTCTTCTTTTCCTCTGCTCACTTCTTGTGACATACTAAAATAGTCTTTTGTAATTTGAGCAGATAGTTAAGATCCTCAACTCATACACTCCAATAGATGATTTTGAGAAAAGAGTGGCTCCATCATTTGTTCGTAAAGTACAGGTAAGAGCTACAACTACTCCCTTTCAAATTCAAGTTAAAAAATACTTCATACACATTGGTTTTGATGCTACATATTTATACTTGACCCTTATGTCAAATTATGACTAAGTTGCTCATCTTCTACACATTTGGAGTTGATCAAGAGAAGTCTCCTTTATCTTATCTGAAACGGAAATGTGCAATGATAAGTAAACAATGTTAATGTTTTGGGTTTTATTTGTAATACAGTATTTTCTTACCCTTTCTGGTATGATTGCAGGCTATGCTAAACAATCGTGAGGACGTTCCACAGTTGATGCTCGATACCAAATATCTATTTCAAGTGACGTTTCCTTTCACTCCCTCTCCACATGCCTTGGAAATGATACAAGTCCCCAGCAGTTTCAAACTTGGCTTTCTCACAAGGGTGTAATAAAACTAATGCACTGGTATTTTCTCAGAGACTAAATAAAGACAGGCAGACTTTCATGGTTCATTTCTCCAGCTGGTGGATGGCACGGTAGCTTGCAGTGAATTAAGCTGTTAAAACCTTGTTCTAAAGTCAAGACTTAAAAAGTAGGAACAATTTAAGCTTGTGATTTCTTTCTGTTTTCTTACTGTACTTCATTCTTCATTATAGTCCTATAATGATGATGTTATCAGCTGGACATAAAGCTGACAGCAGTTTCTTACACCACAGGAGACAAGATTGCATTGGGTCTTTATCAGTAACTCTAAAGCATGAGTCATAGGGGAAAACTACCATGGGATTAATGTTGTTACTTTACAGTTTTCCTTGCCTTTGCTTTCTGTAACAAGAGGTTTTTTTCCAAGGTAATTCTATTCATTGTCTTGATATTCTGGATCTGTTTTACAGTATCTTTCAGCCTTTTATGCTTTTTAGGCCTTTATTCATTCCATGAAATAAGTCTCTCCTAATAGTTCACAAGAAAACTATAGAAAGATGGAACGGAAGGTCCTCCCACATTTTGTATTTTATTTTATTGATACAAATAACTACATTCAACCAGTCTAAGAGAATTGCTGTTGTAATAAACATATATTGTCTTTTGTAGGCATGCTGGCTTGGTTCACTCAGGCTGAATGCTTACATTACTGTTCAGGCACACCAGACAGCTCTTTAGCTGGGGGGGAATTTGGGTGCTTTTTTTTTTTTTTTGAAGGCAGAAGGCAGATTTTAGTTTTGTTCTCTGCAATGACATGTCTGCATTTTCATATCAGTCATTAGCATAGAAAAGTCAGACATAAAATTCCTGTTCTGATCCATGTTTAAATTACAACATTATTAAAAAAAAAAAAGAGAAAAAAAAAAGAGTTCATCTCCTGTTTTGGGTCCATCTCTAATGCAGTGTCTTTCAGAACATATGCTGAGTATGCACACATGTACACATTTTTTCCCATTCTTTTTTGCTTGTTTCCCTCCCTCAATTCTGACATTGAGTAGGAGTGAATGCAGCTATTGTGATCTGGTCTTACTGATAAACCAAGCTTAATTTCTGGCATTGAAATTAAATATATTTCATTTAAATTGCAGGATCCTTAGAAGTAGTCCTCTTTTTGCATTGTTCAGCCTTCTTCCTGCAGGCAGAATGCAAAGAATAACAGCTTTATTTAATACTAGACTATGTTAGAACAACTGGAGAACCAGCATTCACCTTACTACAATCATGACAGTCATTAGAAATTCATCAGTAAATTATGCTAGCTTTCTAGCTAGGTTATTAGATATAATTATGAAAATTGAATGCTAAAGCTTTGAAATACTTCTAATTTCTAATTGTTATAGTTAATTTAAACGTTACAGGAAGGATCAATTTTATTATTATTATTATTATTATTACATAGTGTCTAAAATCTGTAAATATAAAGAAGGACTGTTTTTTGCTATTTCCCATCCTTGGTATTTACTGTGAACAGTGACATATTCATAGTACTATCCACAGAGATATATGAAAAATATATGAAGGAATTTTTTTGTATTTTGTTCAATAGCAATAAAAGCTGTACAAAACGTCACAGATGTATAGGTACATTAGTATTCTTATCTGTTAAATAAAAGGTAGCTTTTAAATCAATCTGTAGTGTTTCGAGTGATGTAATAATTATATTTTCAGAGAATAATTGTTTGAAAATACATATGAATATATTTTATTTATATATACACATTGTGTATATTCCTATCCGAATGGTTATGCTGTTGCTGGCTCCATGTGAATTTCTGTAAATATTTTAAAGCAAGCAAGTCTAGTTGCTATAAATTGTGTATAGCCTTTTTTACAGTTACTGGAGCTGCACATATGTTACCTGGTACGGTATGAGTAAAATCACAATCCGTTCTTAAATCTACATCCCACGGAAGTATCAGAAGGTATGTACATCTGTATGACAAAAATTTCTTGATAATTTGGTTCTAAATTATTTTGAGAGGTTTGTGTGAAATATGCTGTTAGCAGCTGTGCATGCAAAGAACAAAATATATTTTAAAAGAAAGTTTAAAATAATCAGTATTTACTGTGTTCTGTCAGAAACTTACTGTACTTCTGTTGACGTTAATGCCTTTAAACAATATGTAGATACAAATCTTTCTCTGTTTTTATAATTCTTCAAAATGTAAGGAGCAGTATTAGTGATGAAGGGCAGATACCTGAAAGAGACATTACTGAGGTTAACTTTCCTAGAATAATAGTAAAGGAGAAAGCTATTGCATTCAAATGGAAAAGTACAAGATGATCCTTACTGCAGTGGGAAAGCACCAGAATTGCTTATGGAGAGGGTTTAGGCATGTGACTCCTGCAGCTTCTGGCAGCTGGACTCAACAGCATAGGTGATCCCTCTCCCTCCTGTGTTTCCATAGTATTTGGGTTTAAAAAAAAAAAAAAAGTTTTCTTCTACCCAAACCTGTGTTGGACTGAAATCTAATTTCCTTTTTTTTTCTTCTCACATTGCATTACATTGTCTTGACTATTGAATGCAAACATCTAATGGCATGATTCATTGACTTCAGTGGAGTCACAGCAGATGTGACTTCAGCACTTTTCAAGTTTTTCAGACATGATTTCATAAATATCCCTAGAGCTAAAGAATCCAATAAAGCAGAAACTTTTAATGTTGCTGATGTCAAAGTTACTGTCTTAAAATGGGTGAACAATGGAAGTATATCCAAGGAAGAACAAGCATGGCCACTACTTGCATTAGACTTAGAATTTTCTTTATGAAGTAGATTTAACATTGTCACTGTCGTTTGTCAGAATGTCAATTTAATAGGTGGAAAAAGCAGTAGTCAGCCACCTTCCCAGTAGTATGCTTAATATTTGGAAACATCCAAAAATTGCTGCAATATGAAATGAACAGGCAAGGTCTATTTTGCCTAACACTGTATATTCTTTGCTCTGTATTCTTAGAGGGCAGTTAAAATAAAGCCTCTAAACTATAATCATCAGTACATAACTGACCTGAGGTGATGCAACTTAGAGAGGCTGAGCTTTAAATACCCTTTAAGTAGCCTTAATAATAGAGAGGTTGCCGTCCTACATTAGCAGTTGCATACGGCTTATTTACTCGCCTTGAGAAACGCTGGGTTATTGTTGTTTGAAAAGGTAGGCAATTTTGTATATTTACCAACAAGATTAATTGTGCAGAATTACTCTACAAGTGGCATATTTGTTAATGTTTCCGCATGCTGCCATTTTTATACTTCCACTGTATCTTTTTAAAAACCTGGTATGTTTAAAAATTCAGGCTACAGCATGGGAAGAAATCTTTTTAGACCTTTTGAGGTTAAGCTCTTTGTAACAATGATGGTTTTGTATCATATTTTAAAAAGATATAAAATATCTCATGTATAATACCACTTTTAAGTATTTGGAAGTTTTGCTGGCTTCTCTTGCAGTGAGATTTGTATGTCGTAATCTCATCTAAAGTAAAGTACTGATATCAGGCATAATTCACCCTGTGTGTTACTCCAGTGAATTCTCTTGCTTTATCTAAAATTAATTCTGCCCAAGGTATTTATTCAAAGCTTAATAGATCATTGTCTAAAGTCTCTAGGTGTAATAATGATATTTTAACTAAGATGACATTTTTTCTGTGATATTTTCATTTTACACTTCTTATGAAGTGAAAGTCTTCCTCCCAAAGTCTTGTTGGGCTAATGTCTTGAGACTCCATATCAAGTACATAAATCTGCCACCTGAGTTGCCCTCAGTGGGAATCTTGAATTCTAAGAATCTCTGAATAAGAATTTATTCAGTTGTTAAATATCGATTTAAGAATCTAGCACAGTTGAGCCCTGCTGCTATAGACACTTTAAAGCTATTAGATAGACTGGTACAGGGAAGCTCATTGAAAAGGTAGTGGCTTGGTGTCTCGGGCTCACTGTTTGCAAAGAATGCATTAAAAATGTTAGGGCGTATTTGTTGCTTTTCAGTAAATGGGTTATAAACCCTGTTGACTGCATATAGCTGGCTGAAAGCTCCATGCAAATTTGCTGTAGTTCATGTTAGGGCAGATTTCTTCTCACATATGTTGGGGTGAAGTTATGCAACTCCTTTAGACAACAGAAGAAACTCCTATTAACTTGGAAGGACAAGATTTCCAGGTTTATCATCTCATTTTTCAAGTTGTCGGTGGAAAAATCTAAGAATAAGCAGCAAAATGGAGGTGCATAGAATAAACTTTGACTTTTTTACATAATATCCAGCCAAATCCTGAAATCTGCATAGTTCATTCAATTTATTTTGCTCCATTTAAAATCTCCTTTGCAATAGCTTCTTCTAACTCATAAACTCATTATTCATGTTTATGTGAAAAACTGTTAAAAATCTAGAGACTGTTAAAAGCTTGCATTGAGAGAATGGGAAATACTACATTTTCCCTATGAAAAATAGTAAGGAGAAAAATGGCATTATGATGGTATTGTTGTTTGTTATTCTGAATCTCAGAGTGTCTCATTCTGTATTGCTGATACTGCTTTGATCCTAAAGAAACCTGGTTTGAGAACAAAAAGGGGGCTTATAATAACCCAGCTTTCAGTGTGCTGAAGCATCACTTTCTGCTCAAGCAGCACATTGATCATAATATTTTTGAAACTGCTGACTGAATCCTAGGCCATCTTTCAGCTTTAAAAATAATATGTAATATTGAATATTTAATAATAGAGTGAAAAAATAAATATTGGTTTGTGAGAAATCTGCACTGATCAGCTGCTATGTATTTCTAGTTACTGGCTACTGGCATTAATTAAATGAAAATTAAAAATCCACGTTGTCATTAATCTATGTGCAATCAGTGCACATTATAACAAAATACATATTTTACTTTGTATTTTTCTTCATAAAAATATAATCTGCAGATCGTACAACTGTCTTGCATGTAGTGACAGTCCATGAAGCCTGAGAGATGAGTCACAGAGAGAGATTATCTAGTCTGTAGATGTCTATATACAGCCTAAGCTGCATTAGCTACCAGAGCAGAAGCAGGAAACTTTGCACTGGACTGGAACACACTCCTTTTCTTCTCTCTTTCAGCTCGCTCATACTGCAAAGATGTGTGACCAGACCTTTTTAGCAGTTGTATTCGGTCCGTGTGACAAGTGCTCCAAAGAGAAGCCCCTTAGGGCTGTTTACATCAAATCAGAACAGCTCAGCTACTGCTCACTATGTGTGGAAATGGTATGTTACTGATTTTATCAGCTGGAATGTGAAAAGCCTGCAAAAATAGGAGTTGGTATATTAATGGTCTGTTCTGTTGGATTTTTTCTGGACAGCAAATAAGCATTGCTAGGCCTGAAGGCCAGCTACTTCTAATCCAAATAAACACCTCTGCAGACACCTGATGTTATTCCTTGAGCCTGGAACAGACATGGCCCCCGGGTTCAAGGATATGTTTTTTGATTCTTGATTGGAAAGTGGCCATGAGATTTTTACCCTAGGGCACTGCATTCCTTAGCTAAGCAAATATTACATGCCTGTCTAAACTCTGCTCTGAGGTATATGTGTGCAAGTCTGCTCAGCCTGTAGTCTTGAGTATTGCCCATTACCTTTAACAGAACTTCCAAAAGAGACAGAACTATTGCAATGGACTGACTCAGCAGAGGTGAGGGGAGCTGAAGTTCATCTGATCTGTTTCAGCTTCACTGAGACAGAGCTGGAATGCTGTCCTCATAACCAGGTGTTCTCATATGCTATGTGCAGTACTTCGCTGGGGGATCTGTCAGAGCTGGTAGTTACAATGAGGATAAAGTGAGAAAAGAATCATGGAGGCTCTTCTGTCACCATGTGTGTGTACCAGAAGGTGGTAATGGGGGAGATGAGCCAACGTGCTAGCCAGACCAGCAGGTCCTGTCATAATACCTGCATGAAGAAGGAACGATGTTGGAGGCATTGAAATCTTCAGGAATTACTGGTGAGGTGACAACCCACTCTCCTAGCAGGAAGCACTGTCCTGGCACAGTCACAGGATTTTTTTAGATGAGATACAAAGCTAGGGTACCTATGTGGTCACTGAAGAGCTGGTCTCCAAAACTGCTTTTGCAAAGTGAGGAATGTCGTTGTCCTGATTATACTCCAGCTTAGAGTTACTCTACTTCATCTTCCTGAACCATTGTGTAATATCTTTTGGAGAAGACTTCCTTCACTGCTTCTTCCCCAGAATTGATCACTACCGTAACTTGAATGGTGTTCAGTTGGTTGTTGTATTTAAATGTCAGATTAAATTATCTCTGCAGGAATACTAAAAGGTTTAACTAACGATGTTTAGAAAACATTATAAGACAGACAGATAAGAGAACTGATTTGGTGATTATAGATGGTGCAACGTGTACAGTTCACTGACTGACACAGCATAATCACGTCACATTGTTTAGGAGGAAATTTAGATGTAATGAATATAAGACAAAAGACGGTCCCTTCCCTATTTACTTGCTTCCCCTGACTTTGAAACCGCTGCTTTGTTCAGGTCCTTCTTGGCCAGCAGCCTATAAATAGCAATTTATCTAGTAAATTTTTGCATGACTTGCTAAATGCACACTGAAGTTTCAGGAAACTGGCTGTTTGTTACTTATAGTTCCTGCAACTTTCTCCTTATTATTTGCACTATAGAAGTTAGACTCCTACCAAAAGAAACAGCTGCTAAGTGGAAGCAGACTGAGACTTCAAAAAGAATTGCCTCAGTACTTAACATCCTGTTAGGCTTTGTATCAGCGCTGCAGTAAGATCTTGGGCTTTCTGGTTGATCTGACTTCAGCTTGCTTCTTCATATTTATTTTGTAGAAGAGATTTAAAAACAGCTAACTGGAACACAGAGAGCTCTTTGCAGTAGTAATGGAATGCATATAGATAGGAAAGTAGTATCCTTTACTTTTTGTAACTGATTTTTCAGATCTGTGGAGATGCTTTGGTTTAAATCAAAATGCACAATATGTCCTAGCCACTCTTGTGCAGGTGTTTGTGTATGATTGTGCATAATGTGGTGTGCAATCAGCTGAGCCTTTTGCAGCATCCTGATTTGCACATCTTTTAATTTCAGATGCAGATTGCACTCAGCTGCACAAATGCATTTTCATCACCAGTCTTTTTGATTTTCCTCCAAACAGTATCTGTTGAGGGATAGCAGTTAGGAATTGCTGATTCCCAATGTTGAGATCATCCTACTTCCCTTAGTTGCCTTTTGGGCTAAAACATCTTTTTCCTGTGGGGTTTTGTCCATTTTGGAATTGGTGCTAATCAATAGAAATTCAATGTGCTTGCTTTTTAGTCTTCTCCAAAAAAAGTATTAGTACATTAGTTTACAACTTAAAGAAAGATCAGTGATGAGTTAGTAAGAATGATATATATAATATATATATATTTATTTATTTTTTAAATACCTACCCTTTGAGATAGACATCAATGTGTGACACAGTCAGACCTTCCATTTTCCACACCATGGAACAGTACCAGCTTTCTCGCGTGTATTCCTATCACCACAATGCGGTGCAGTTGCCACATGTGGAAGGTAGGTTTGCGATTGTGGTAATGACTGTTCTTGCCACAATTCTTGGTGATTGAATTCCTCTCTAGCAGCTCCACAGAGTAACACTTTATAGAAATCAGACTACTTTCAGAATGGTTACCTCAAAATAGCCTCAAAATATTTGAAGCCAAGGGTCATCATGCCTTTGACCCATAGGGAAAAGTCAAGAGTCAAAATCTGTCTTCAAACAAAGCTGTCCTTGTTCTGGGCAACATGGAAGCTCACTGCCTCTGAGGACATAGCAGCCAGTTTGTAAGTGATTGGCTTTCTAGGGAATGCTGGTGATCAGTACAAAGTGACAGCAACAAACACTTTCATGTACCAGTCACTACTGCACAATTAATGGATCATAACATTACAGAGTTCAGTTACTTACTACTCTTTTCCACATAGTCCACAGTACAGGATGTTTTCACAGCCTTTTGGCCTGTGCTGATGTGTTTTGAAACTCATCTGAAATCAGAGCACAAACTAAGAGGAACTATATTTTGTCCACTGCTGCGGATTGAACTGCCATTTCAGGTTAAACATAGTAAATTCTAATATTGTGTTAACAAGGCATTTACTATCATAGGGTTTTTAGGCGATTGCTGGTAAGTTGTGTTTTTATTTCTAATGAAAGCATATCCAGTAGTATGTGAACTCCACAGATATACATACTGCCTCCTTTTTCTTTTGTGACACTGAATGTAACTGGATTAAAGTAAGTCCAGAGTTGCCTACATGGCCATCAGACTGGTAGGTTTGCCGCACCAGCTTCTGTGGACAGGGGGAAGACTGGAAATGCGTTCACTGTATTTGACTCTTCAGATAAGTGGCCCAGCTCCTGTAAAACAGACCTTGAGCATAAAGCCAGACAAAGGCCTGACTTCAGCCCGCAGATTTACAGTGAAGAGCTCAACAGGTCTGCCCATGCGTCCCAGTCAAACAGTGACACTGCTGCTAAGCCTGTGTGGGAAAGGACTTACTTTCTCTAAGGCTGTACTGTGTCCAGGATGTGCCCAGAGTCTAAACAACAGCTGCAAACACTTATTTTCTTATCTGCCTTTCTAATCTTGGAACATCTCCAGGTTGAACAACAGCCATTTGATTGTCTATTTTCTAGCTAAAGGGAGACAATGAGAGTCAATATGAGCAAAGTTATTCAGTGGAGATCAAGGACAATTTGTGAAGAAAGAAGAGGACGTTTTCAAGGAACTCCCAGGGAACAAAAAGTTGCAAGGTTGTTTGCTGCTGTTCTTTCTCTGGAAACGTGAGCCGCTCTGTGCACATCGCACACGTTCGCTCTCTGCCCGCAAGCAGAAGCTGCTGAGGAGCTGTTTTTTGCTGCCTTTGGTGTTTCAGAAATTGGTCCTTTTCAGTGGCTGGGAAGGCCCAAGTCTGCATATCTGTGTGCAGGATAAAGAGGGGGTTCGTTTAAGGTGGGACAAGGGTAAAAATGAGGAATTTGAAGCATAATAAGGAGAGGGGTTCCCATGGCTCCATCCATCCCACCAGCACCTTGTGACCAAGTCTCCTAGTGCCCCCTGCTCCCAGGGCTGTAAGGGAACGATGGAGCCGAGCTGGGCTTTGCAAAGCCTTGGCAGGATCTGTCCTCCCAGCCTGGCATTTTAAAATGCTGCTGAGGTGACCAGTTAGGGTTTGGGTTTTGTTTTCTTTTGTTTTCTCCTCCTCCTCCTTCCGCAGGGGCTGCGAACTTCAGGGCCCGCACAGGTTGTGCAGGCAGCAGCCCCAGCCTCTCGCCGTGTGCTGCTGGGCCGAGGCAGCCCCGGGGCTGCGCCAGGCGATGCCCGGCGGCTCGGCTCTCACCTGCCCGAGGCCGGCGGGGGCAGTAGGCCAGGCCGGGCTCAGCCCCCTGCCCGGCGGCCGGCGGGGCTCGGCCGGTGCCGCAGCAGGGCCGGGGAGGGGCCGGGAGCCGGGTTGCTGAGGCAGCGGGAGCCTCGGCAGCATCCCCGAGAGCCCGGCGGGCGACAGAACTCCTCCCTCCCTCCCTCTCTCTCTCCCCCGTCTCCCTCCCCGCTTCCCTCGCAAAGATGGCAACCGAGGGGCTGCACGAGAACGAGACCTTGGCGTCGCTGAAAACCGAGGCGGAGAGCCTGAAGGGCAAGCTGGAGGAGGAGCGGGCCAAGCTGCACGACGTGGAGCGTGAGCGGGGGAGCGGGGACCGGGGGGCGGCCGCGGGGGAAGGAGGCGGCGGCGGGGCCGCTGCCCCCGGGCCGGGCCGGGCCGGCCTCCGCCGGGCCTCCGCCGCCCCGCAACCGGCCCGGCCTCCGCGCCGGGCCCAGGGGAGGGAGGGAGGGGGGGAGCGAGGGGAAGGAGGGGGCCGCGGCATCCACGGCCCGGCCGGGCCTCGCAGGCGCAAAGCCAGCCTAAAGCCGGGCGGGCACCGAGGCCGGGGCGTCCCCAGCTGAAAGGGGCCCGAAAAGGAGCCCCGGCCCCCGGGGAGCCGCCTGGGGGGCGCGGAGCTGCGCCCTGCCCCCTGCAGCCCCGCCGCTGCCTCCCGGCAGGGGACAGGCGCTGACCCTGGTGTGGTGGTTCCTAAACTGCCCGTCCTGACCTGCAGAGATGCTGTTTGCTTTGTTACATTTTTATGTAAATAACATATAGTGCGGTTCTTCTTGGGGGAAAAACGTCTAAATTACTGTATTATATTAGTATATTGCGTATGACTGAAGTCACATCGCTCATTTAATTAAAATCCCTGTTACATACACACACACACACACACATCCAGTCCCTGAGCTGGCAGGGGACCCCCAAGGCTCACCAGGTGATGCTCTGAGTGTCGGAGAGGAGCCTGAGCCTGTGCCCAGTGCTGGAGGTGCTGGTGGCTGTGTCAGGCTGAGGGACTGGCAGGCATCGTCAAATTTCAGGTGTGGGAGAGTTAAAAGTTTTATTTTTTTCCTCCGGAGTAAATAGAGCATTTTCTGATCTAAATTAGGTAATCATAAATTACGTCTGTCCCGCTAGCAGGAATCATTAGGCAGATGGAGATGGGCTCATTACAGGAACATTGCGGTGAATCATCAAATTCATGCAGTGTAATTTCTGTATCAGAAGTGGTGGGGCAGACCCCATAAGCATATCTTTGAAGCATGTGCATAAAGCTGTTTTTGCGCAGGAAAGCAATTTTATTTATGACTGGAGTGATATGTAAATGGGTACATCACTAGTCATAGGATATTTATCTCTTTTGTTACATGTAAAATCTGTAAACTCCTGCAGGAAGGCGGTTTTTGCTTAGCCATGGCAGGATTTCCAAGATAAAAGGTTTATGCTCCTACAGGACACTGCTCCCTCATGATACTTTATATCATCAACTCCATATCAGAGGTTTTTTTGTGCTTAAATTATCCCCAAGAGCTATTTCTGCGAGGGTTATAAGTTTCAGAATAAAGTATCTCTTCTGTTTTTTCTAATCTAAAATTGCATCTTTCATATTTTTTTCTCTGATCGTGACCTTCCTTCTATGGTTCCCAAAACAAACAGTGGGCTGAACGATTATTGCCCTTATTTGTTCAGCTGGTTTTGAACAGCAGCTCTCCAAAATGTGGATAGAAAGAGGAAATACCAAACATACATTTGATTCACAGTATTACAGTTGTAAGGATTCAATTTTATCACTTAAAACTTTAGGTATAGATAAAACAGTTTGTCCTGCTCACGTGATCCATAAATTTTTAAGGCCAGAAGATACCATTAGGACCAATTGACTACAGCACAGAAAAGATCAAAGTCCTGATAGTCTCTGCATTAAATCCACCATTCTTGTTCAGGCCAAATCATGTTTTATAAAACAGTTTGCTTTATCTGGACTTTCATAAAACCACTCGAGCTACTTCCTGGCTTTAGCTGATCTGCATATGGCTGAGTGCATAACTTTCAACTACCTTGAAACAATATCGGAGAATGCTTCAAAATAGTTATCTGACTCTAAAACCTGCTAGGCGGGCGGAGGGCTGTGATGGCTGCGGTTGGAGATAAGCATCCTCAGAGAATCTAAAAGCTAAACTAGACAATTCCACAGAATCAGACACGTTGACATAATGGAAACACTTTGCCTATTGTCTGTGAAACATTTGTTTGTCAGATATGTTCTGGACACAAGCGTCTTTCCAGCTGCCATAATAACCTCCTGTTGTATGTTTTCATCTCATCTGATTGGATCGTTGAGCAGGTTTTAGTGGCTATCAGCAGGGGAAAATCACATCTTTTCCTCAGGGAGCTTACGGGGTGCTTTCTCAGAAACTTGTTTGTGGCCTCCCGTTAGAGACGGTACGGACAGGTTGGCAGCAGCAGCGGACCCCCTGGGTGGGTGACGCTGGGCATGCAGAGATTTCAGGTGAGAACGTTATTCTGGCACAGCCTGCAGGGCTACTGGTTTTGAAAGACAGCTCTTGAAAAACTAAACCACTAGGAATCTGTCCCTGCCTTAGGCCAAAATTGCTCCCCTGACCCTGTGCCAGGGAATGATCTCAAAGTTCAGGCTGTCTGCTCTCTCGCTGCCCTTCCAGGCCTGCAGCCTTTCTTGCAGCATCTCTAGAAAAGTGACCAAAGGTAAAGCATCAGTGTTGCTCTCAAGCAGTCACCTGCCACATGGAGCATGAAGCTCAGCTGCCATCACAGCACTGAAAACGCTTAGGATTTCTTCTGCCAGCTCATTAAAGCGTGTGAGCTTCTGCATTTATTTCAAAAGGTGTGAGTTAGGCATTGCCCCCTTAGCCAGCAGCGACTACGCTAGGTTTCAGTATGGACAAACAAACAACACAGAATAGTGCTGGATCCTATTAGCTTTTCTCAGGGCTGAATCATTTTTCAGTTCTGGTGCCAGAACCCCTGCTCTGCTGTGAGACTTGAAGCAACTCCCACCCTCCTGATGCTCCGTGTGAGGTATGTCAGGACTTCTGCAGGGCGCCAAGATGCATCGTGCCCCTGCTTAGCCCACCCCGGAGGATCAACTTTGGAGCAGAGCAAATAGGTTTTTGCAGATGAGGCTTTCTCCCAGACTTGTGCAGATGACCCCAGCATGAGGTGTCAGGGTTATGTGAGACAGCTCTTAGTTGCGTGAGCTGCGGTGGGTTGGATTTTTACATCAAAGTGAGTTTGCACAATTGGAAATGCAAATCTGCTGGGTTTTTAAGAATATCAGCAGAAAGCGCTGCTATTAAATGAGGTATGGAAGAACTGACTTCTTCCCCTGAGGATGCTACTCAGGAAAGTTGTCTGCCCTGTCTGATTCTCCCTCGCATAAAAGAAAAAGCTGATCCACCCAGGAGTCTTTGAGGTCTGTAGATGCAGTTGAGAAGTTGGCTAGCACACTTACAGCAAGTGTTGAGTTTCCCGAGTTTCACTCAGAGCAGTGGCCAGGCCCTTGGGGCCCCCTTGGCCACCAGAAGGGCAGAGAAGCCTCCGGTGCCAGCGGCTGGTACCCCTATCGCGCTGCACCATCGCTGCAGTGCCTGAGGGCTGACTGCAGCTGGGAGTCTCACGTCCAGAACAAGCGTTTTACTGTGAAAACTTCAGAGATTTGATGGTTATCCCCTCTTTTTGTATGATTTGTTCCTCCAAGACCCAGCAGTGATCTTCACTTCTGCTGAGTACCTCAGGCTATGTGTTAGGCTGGAGGCTGTCCACGCTTTCAAGCCTCAGTCAGATTGAGGATTTCCCAATAAGAGGGAGGAAGGGGGGTGAGTAATTGATTTTCCAGTTATATTTGGCTGTGATAATGTGCAAGAGCTTCAGCTGCTACTGCCCTGGAATTCAAGCCCTGAGTGAATTCATACCTATCTTTATCTGTGGGTATATTCATACACCGCCCACCTTGGTTTTACCACCTGCCAACCCTGAAGCAGACTTTGTTGGCCTGCACCATAGACTCATGTTTCTTGGATTAATTCCTACAAGTGACATTACTCACGAACATAAAAGCTTTCAGTGGCAGAGCTTCAGTGCAAGGTTCTCTAACCGTCAGCTGTTTGCAGTTCACCAGGTGGCAGAGCGTGTGGAGGCACTGGGCCAGTTTGTGATGAAGACCAGGAGGACGCTGAAGGGCCATGGAAATAAAGTTCTCTGTATGGACTGGTGCAAAGACAAAAGAAGAATTGTGAGCTCTTCCCAGGTATGCTGTTGGGCAGATGTTTTCAGAAATACTGTTGAGTGCTAATACAAATCTTCTGGCTGTACTACATACTACTCTTTTCAGGTGACACCTTTGTATAGTGTAAATGTTTTCAAGATGCCCCTAAAGCAATTAATTGGCAACAGATTTGTTCAGAGAGCACAAATCCAAGTTTCTGAGCATCACTACACTACATAGCTAATATCAAAAATATTTCCTTTGTGGTCATATACAGGTTTTCCCTGTATTCCCTACTACAAAAGAAAATAAAAGTCATCTGAACCCGTTGGACACTTTATTGCCTTGGTCTTTACAGATTCAATATTCAGTAATGATTTCAGTTTAAGCGTTAAGAGAAAACAGTTGAGAGAAGGGAAGGGAAGAAGTGTTGATTCTTCTAGAGATTTCTTTGCACAAAAATTTCTTCTGCAGTCTGTATGATTGGTGCGACCTTGAAAACCTCAAACCTCCTGCTAAAACTACTGCATTTACTTGGGCATTTTGAGAAACAGTCCGAACACCTGCTCAAGCAGTTTCGTGAGCTGGAGGAGGTAATAATATAATTACCTTCTAGATTCCCTGGTCCATCGTGAGCCCAGTATAGCAGTGAGTGAGCTTGCTGCATCTCGCAGCTGTTCATTGACTTATAAGAAATCTGTCAGGGGTCTCACTAGAGGGATAAAAATAGGCAATCTGCATTGCAGGCCACCTTCAGTTACTGTGAGGGGCTTTTTAACCATTCATGGTGATTCCAGCAAGGAGAATCAAAGTGTAAATAATAAATGTGACATTTTTAAAGTGGTTAAAATGCCAGTATGTAGATAGAAAGCTAAACAGTGAAGCTGTAATGCATTTTTGCATTTCTCTATTTTTTGAAGAACTGTAATGAAGAGAATGCCGTGGCTGAAAGGAGGCAAGAGAGGGCTCAATAGTAATGGTTTCATAAGAGGGTCCTTTTTGTGGTGTGTGCTGCAGGTGAAAGAAGTTCTCACAAACACACTAGGGAAAACCCTTTAAAAAAAAAAATCAGTTTTTTAATCCAGCATCAGTCAACTCAGTTAGAAGGCAATATGCTATTCTTCTGTTGGAAGAAATAACTAGCACTATGGAGAAGTGTCTCCTTGGTGCTCCACTGCAATCATTGTGATGTTGCTAAAATGGAGACAAAAATTGCATGAGACAACAAATCGGGATAGAAATGATCAGCAGAGTTTTCTCTACATCTGGGAAGTAAGCTAACAGCTCTCTCTCTGTTTGTGTACTTTCATTTAGGACGGGAAGGTGATTGTGTGGGATTCCTTCACTACCAACAAGGTAGGTGAAACTTCAGCAAAGGTCAGATTTCTGTGTGTAGGGCAAACAACAGTGGGATAAGCTGGAGGGCTGGAGGACTTACAGGAGGCAGCAGGAGGGTGATGGAATATCCTGCATACCTCCAGCAGCACCTCAAAGCAAATAGCCCAGGACAAACCATCTCTCTTGACCTGTCTCTGAGCAAAGTCCCCATTGGGGCACTGGTATTCATCGTGGTCTCCAGGGCATATCGGACCCGTGGTGTGATGCCCCCTGTGCTGGGAGCAAAGCCAGGCCACAGAATGGAGGTCCTCCCTCGGTAACAGCTGTGCAAGGTGCCATGGGTGCCATGTGTGAGCACTGGGGATCCTCCAGGTATGGTGTTCACTCTGAACACACATGCTGCTTCTCCAAGCCTGGATGAGGCTGCCTTTCTCACCCTGCTCCACACAGTTGAGAAAAAAGAGCTTGTACACCTGCACGTGCCACACTGGGGAAATTTACAGCACCAAGTAACCCCAATAAAACATGCTCTGGGCTCGTGAATAAGGTGGGAAGTGTCAGGGACGGAGTAGCTGCCCACCTGCTGCTCTGCTGGGTTAGAGGAATGGCGGTGTCTGAGTTTTGAAGAGATGCTGTGTTTCAGGAACACGCAGTGACGATGCCGTGTACCTGGGTGATGGCATGTGCCTACGCCCCGTCTGGATGTGCCATTGCTTGTGGGTAAGTTCCCAGTTTCCTCAGGTGTTTACGCAGAGAGGCTTGGTTTGCAGTGGTCTCCTGGTGCCTTCGTGGATGCTGACAGTTTGAAGCTTGCATGTCAAGATCGTGGATGGGAGGATTACATTCAGTGCCTCTGATCCTAGTCCCGTAATGGCTCATACATTTTATCACCACTGACTTCAGTGCAATAACATCTGTTGTATAAGCATGGTAAATAATCCTCCTTCAGCATTTATATCATGGGTTAGGAATTCTGCATGCATGCATGTTCTCTGCTCCAGTTTGGTTGTGTATATTGGATATATCTTCTAAGGGAGAGAGTTTTTAACCCTCTGCTTACTTTACTCTCTTTCTTCTAAAAGGTAGAGAAGAAGGTTAGTCTTTAAGGGTTACCAGCACATGAGTAGATCTTGCCAGGATAGAGTGGAGGGAAGTAACCCCATCCTTGATAATCTCCATTTTTTTTCTGAGGGCTCAGGTTTGAAAAAAATTAGTTTTTGCAGGGGAGAAAACAAAGAGATTAGGAGTTGGCAAAAGATCTCTTAAAAATGGACTGGGTGGATCAGACAGACAAAACAAGCTTGGGGCAAGAGAAAGAAACAAAGGGAGACTTCACTGTGCAGTCTGCAAATGTGGAAAGAAGACACAGACTCCGTAAATGTGTGCAGAGGAGGAGTCTGGAAATTGTATGTTTTTCCTGTAACTCGAAAAGTGGCAAGAAATCTCTTGTAAGAGAGACAGGGAGTGCATATATGCATGGCACTACCTAGTTTTCTATTTCTGTTATACTGTTGATTAATGCTGTGCTCTTAATAGAGGGCACAAAAACAGCAGCTGGCGGAGTGCCAGGAATCTGGGACCAGGGCATGGCCGATCTACCACAGCTTTAGGAAAGGGTCAGGGTGGGCACATCTGGCCAGGGGACACATTTTGGCTAGTGTAACTGTCCAGGAGGGACACACCAGCTACAGAGGACAGTATTTCTGTTGCCTTTTTCCAAAACTTTTCTAAAAGACCTGTCTTCACATCCGCTGGTTGCTATACTACATCTTCCATAGGAGGTAAGGTATATAAATAACGGGGTTTTGAATACGAACACTCACAATGACAGATGTCAGCAGAAAAATGGCAGTTTGTGTTCAAAAAATTAACCCTGAGGTGACAATGGCACCGTCCAGTTTATACTTTCGTGAGATTTCATTCAGTGCCATTTATAAACTAGATGAGGGTAAAAAATGCTGAGCCTCAGCTGTTCAAGTGCTGTAACGTAGCCAGCCTGGTGAGGCAGCTGGGGCTTCCCTGTGTGTGGAGATCCTGGACAGCACAATACCGGGAAGCCGGTACTTGTGAGAATTTGGCAGCGCAGCACTGACAGGTGGTTTCCTTCTTATCACCACTCGCCTTTTGTCGTTGCGGTTTTAACCAGTTCTCTCTCTGTTATTGCTATTATTACCCTTTAGTGGCCTGGACAACAAGTGTTCTGTGTACCCTCTGACATTTGACAAAAATGAGAATATGGCAGCAAAGAAGAAATCAGTTGCAATGCATACAAACTACCTGTCTGCCTGCAGCTTCACTAACTCAGACATGCAGGTAAATGCATCCCCTCCCCGCTGCTCGCTGTCCCGCAGAGCCTAACACGAGCTGCACTCCTATCGCTGCAGGCAGCCTTCCTTGCTTCAGGGGCATTTCAGCACTTGGGACCAGGTCCTGCCTCATGCAGGGGCTGCTGGAAAACTTGCTGGGGCAATGAACCTGCTGCAAAAGCTTCTGCAAGGAAATGCCTGTAACAGCCCGTGCCCAGGCTGTCATGCTTGCGCCCCGCAAAGACCTGTCCCTTTTGCAGAGGGAGCTTGCTGGTACCCTGGATGTTCTCTGCTCACTGGGTCTGTGCTGGCTTGTGCTTTTAGGAGCTCCAACTAATATAAATAGTTTTGTTTTGTTTTGTTTTTTAATACAGTCTGGGTAGGACTAGGTTGGGTGTGTGCTACGTCAGCTGCTGGAGTGTGTGTTGTTTACCTGCTTTGTGATGGACAGCTAGCCAGTTTTACTTTAATTCGTAGCATTTTTATTCCCACCAAGTGACATATATGAACTTGAGGATGGCCCCACAGGGTGAGCCTTTTCCATACATGCCACAGTGTGTTCTCTCAAGGGAGAGGAGTGGTGCTAACCCTGTCTCACAGCTTTGGGGCTGGAGCACAGAGGGCCGGTGATTTCTTAAGGTCACAGTGGGAGCTGATGGCAAAGCCAAGAACAAAATGCAGATCGTCTGAGGCCAGGCCAGTCTTCCTCTGTAGTGAGTATCTCACCCATTTCTCTAGGAATATGAAAGATGATGAGAGGAGCCAGGATAATCCACTTGTCCTCTCTGCTTTTCAAATTTAATTAAGTGTAGCTCAGTGCAGCTCTGCAGCAACATAAATGGCAGAAGGGAGCATTTTCATTGCACTCTGTCAGCAGAGCTGCTGGAAAGGGAATACCTCGTTCCCTTCTTTCAGGTATTTGGAGCTCTTCTGGAGCAAATACCAGCTCTGATTGCTTCTATTTCAAGACATGAGATGCCCCCAAGTATGTTGTTATTTGCCATTCTGTGGTTTCTCTAATGACTCTGAGGTGCTAATTCAAGTCTATTGCCATGGAAACAAGCCATGGACGTACCCAGGCTCAGGCTGAGCCCTGACCTTACTGTGCAGGAGCCTTGCATAATTAGAGCAGAGCCTAAATTAAGTGGAATGGTTTTGTTGAGATACGAAATCAGTATTCCATTTTCTTGTCCATACCTACATGCATCATGATGTAAGTCCTATGAAAAGAAAAAACAGTTTTCTATTTTTTGTAGTAAAAATAGAAGGCAAAGTTGGGTCCTTTTTTCTCCGTATCGAATACCGCAAACTACATTGCTATTGAACGTAGTGTGTTACTGTTACATACAGGGGATTAAGATGCTTTATGTTCATACCTTATATTCATACTATATATTCTGAGACTTTTCTGAAGACTTTGAAAGGAAATTTTCTTGTGATTGATAGGCTTATGTTTTTAAGTGATCATTTATAGCACTATGTATCATTACTTAAACAAATGCAAGCAAGTGGGTTGGCTAAGCTTCTGTAGGGCAACCTACGGAATCCCAGATCTCTTTTCTTTTCTCCTTTAAGATAATGGCATACGAATTAAAATTATTCTGTAACCCTGAGGGTGCGCTGTGCAGCAGGCACGCTGCAGGGGCTTTCCCAGCCCTGCCCAGTGAGTGCTGAGCAGCTCTGCTCTCCTGGCTGCATCACCTGTCCTGGAGCAGCTTTAGGGCACGGCAGAAACCTCCCCAAGCCCAGAGCCCCCACGACACCCAGCACCCAGTGCTAGTGCTGCAGGTGCTGCTGTTCTGCTTTGGCTGCCCTCTTGAGCTAAAGCTCAGTTTTCCCAATGAATGGCATAAAAAGAGTTTAGGACCTGGTGTGTCTGGGGGCATCCAGTGAGAGAGGGGATTTGGGGCTATTTGGTCATTGATTAAAGCCAATCTCAGGCTGCACGGGTGCTGAAAGACGGGGTTCCCATCAGTGCTCCTTGCCATGTCTCCGTCCCAGTCCAAGGCGAGCACTGAGCTGCCAGGCTGGGCGACCTGCAGAAATTATCCGTGGCCCCACAACGTCTTGCCAGGGAGAGCCCCCCCCCCCTCAGTTACACAGAGAGCCTGAGGAGCCTCGCTTCCTAAATTAGGTATCCACAGCTCTGCAGTGCGATTACACTCCCCACATGACGATGCTCCATGTGTATTAATAGCAGCAGCTAATTGGGATCTCAAGTGTTGTGCACGGGGCCGGCAGCCGTACTCCCGGTGTGGCAGAGCTGAGAAGCAGGACGTGGCCCATGGAGGTGGCAGAGGTGAGAGCAGGCCCGCACTGCTGCTCCTTGCCCTGGGGCCTGCGCTCGTGGTGAGCCGGGGCCGTGTCCCCACTGTCCCCTGCCATTTGCAAGCACCACCTCTTGGTTTTGGGTGAGGATTCCTGTCCAGTGCTGCCAGAGCCCCTCATGGAGGAAGCCGGAGTCTAAAAGCAAAGGTTTTTAATTCCCTTATGTGTTTTGTTGGTTTTGTTGCTAGCTATACCCTGAACTTGAGCCCATTACATTTTGCTGTAAGCATTAGCTGGAGCCCCAGGCTGTCAACAGACCTTTCCCTTACACCTTTAGCTGCTCCTGTTCCCTTCGCCTTTCTTCCATACTATTACAAGAGCAAATCCTCAGAGCTGGAAGGCTTCATTTCCTCATCCGCAGCACTTTCACTCCTCTATTCAAGTACAAATAGAATAGAGAAATTCATTGATACAGGCTCAAAAGCAGATCAGAAAGAAAATTCAGGACCTTCTTCAGCTGTGATTATCTCAGAATATTCATGTGTTCTGTGGCAGGGTTCAGAACGGGCTGTTCTGCAGCTGTGCAGACCTCTGTTTCTGGGAGGAGTTTTTTGGAGCATCTGTCAAGCACGATCAGTGTTCATCTTTTATGCAACTCTGAGAATGGTTTCATGATTTTGTGATCGCTTTCTTCTTGAAGAGTATTTTCTTTTTAATTTCCAACCACCCACTGGCATTCCCCTACATTTCCCCACTGAACATGGGAATAATCTGTGCCAAAGACTTTGTATGGTTACAGAAACAGAGTATCCTGCCTTGTTCTCTGTTCACCCTTGTCTCTCCCACGCCTGTGTACAGGGACCCATTCAACCTAGAAAATTTGTGATTGTATAACAGCTTTGGGTGCCAAGGGGAAATTCTGAACAATTGAACATCATCAGGATTTAGCCACAATCACAAGCACCCATCACATGTGCTTTCTACAAATGCTGTGGCAGATGAGAGAAGCTACGAGATATGTTTGGTCAGTATATGTTCAAGTCATTTTGCACATAAATGGTTTTGGAAAAGTGAGACGTGATGAACTTGTCAAAAAACTGTCTAGACAGGCTCACTGCCCTTTCAAAAAATCCATGTCTTAAACCCAACTCATTGGGCTGAACCTGGCTGTTTGAAGCAGGGAAAAAACAAAACAAAACAAAACAAACTCTTAAGGAGTTAAACAAGTATTACAGGTATACTAAAACAGGCGTACTTAACTCCAACAGTTCTTCGCACAGTTTGAATTCCAGCAGCCTGAATGTGGATAGGGTGAAATACAGGAGCAGACAGGAATACCAGTCACGTTCTACCTCCTTTTTGGAGGATTTGGAAATACCAGCAGAGCCCTGGTGGCATCCATTTTTAAACCCTTCTGCACCAAACTGACCGTTACTGCAACACTGTGTAGGTACAGCTGTGTCGATATGCCTTTCCTCCCCACTCTCACTTCTTTGCTTAAAAAATAGAAACCACAAACTCTGCTTAGAATGGCATTGCTTTTATGACTGATTTATTGTATAATATCCCATGAAATTAAAGCTGTCCTTGGTGTATGTATAGGATGACAGTAGTTTCATTGTAATCATCTCTGTGATCATCTGCTGATTTTTGTGTTGTGACTTTTCTTGCCATGTGCCATAGATTTTAACAGCAAGTGGAGATGGGACTTGTGCTCTCTGGGATGTTGAGAGCGGGCAGCTTCTGCAGAGTTTCCATGGTCACGGAGCTGACGTGCTGTGCCTGGACCTGGCCCCTTCTGAAACTGGAAATACATTTGTCTCAGGGGTAAGCAGAAACTTTCTATCATAATTTAAAATTAAGGAGAACGGGACGGAAAAAGCAGCAAAGCAGGAGGCTCAGGATCTTATTGAGGAAGTGTTGGAATATGTAGTGGGAGCCCCAGTGCAACCATCTCACTGCAAGCACGTTTCCCAAGCTGGAGCAAATTAAACCTCTGTCTGTGGGGTCAAACCCACCCCGCCAGTTTGACTGCAGTTCTGCTTATTTAGCAGATTCCACCCCACACCAAAGCAACCCAGCCCGAGATCAAAACACCTCTCCCGGGAAGGGAAGGGCTTGGGGTTAGAGCCCGAGCTCCTGGTGTGGGCGGAGGTGGGAGCCCCGGTGGGTGGGAGCCTGGCACAGCAGCCAGCCTCCTGCCGCTGGCTCCTTCGTGGTGCCCAGCCCTCTGGAGCCGGGCAGGGAGTGCCGGGGCACTGGAGCGGGGCGCTGAATAACGTGCATGCCACTGCCTTGCTCAGCCGCTCCCCACAAACCAGGGGGTAGCTTGGGCGCTGGCTAGACCCTCGAACAAGTTGGTGCAAAGAGATGAGGTGTGGCCACGTCTTCAGCTGTTGCTGAGTCCCCCGTGCTTTCCAGCGGTGCCAGAGGCTTTTTTTTTCTCTGTCAGTCAAATGCTGCTTGCTCCCCACCGTGCCCCAGAAGAACACACAAACCTCACCAGGGCCACAGGAGTGGTTCTGGGAAAGTACCAGAATCTGGGGCTTTGTGGACATCTTCCAAATCTTGTCCTGCTGCTGAGGTACTGCTGTCCCCAGGCAGCCAAGCCATGGTCACACGGTAGGGCGGGCAAGGCCCAAAAATAAGCTGGTAGGGTCTCAGCTCCTGTTCAAGGCGGTGCTGGTCGTTTCCACATCAGAAGTCAAGTTTGCAGGTAAGATCTGTTAGGAGCTGGGAGATGAGCTCTTATCAGAGGCAGGTTGCTACCAGTAACTTTGCTGAAGGTACCTGGTTTCTAAGCCCTGTGCTTGCTGCTGGAAATGGCCCTTGTGCCAGAGGGGCACATCAGGTAGGGGATTCCACTTGTTGTGCTTGGAGTCACAGTCCTATCCCTACACAATAAACCTCGACCTCCTCAGTTATGGCTCTTTTTATCAAAGTTGGCTGGCCCATCAGGAGCAAAGCCTAGCATGTTGGCCCAGTTTGCTTGCTGCTAGCTAGCACAGCTGCTCTGAAGCGTGACTGAAAGCTAATTCCATCTGAGCACGTTTACTCCTCCCGGGCTTTCCTGCCACCGAGCTCACTTCCCAGAAAGGACAGATTGATTCTCCCTGGGAACAGCTCAGCTTATTATAGGGCAAAGAATCGCAAGCAGCTATGGTGCTGCTAAGAGAACATGTCATACTTGTGTTAGTGTAGCAGCTTGGGCATGTCTGTGTTTACAGTGTCTCAGTTAACTCACCAAATGCAAAACACCACTTCAGGGAAGGTCTGTCTTCTCCTGAGTCACTGCAGGTACAGCCAAAGCAGTGCAGCCTGGCGGTACCGTGTCATGGAGAGACTCCTTGTGTACTGTGGCTATGCAGTCCAGTAATCTTGAGCTGAAATAAGCAGTGCTAATGCAACAGCATTTGGACTGGGAGCTGCTGCATTTAACTACTTAAAAATCACAGCCTGCTTTGTAGATCTAGCTGAACACAGGGCTGAGTCCCAGGCTCTTGTTCTCAGAACCCTTGGAGCGCTGCTGCCTGGGGAGAGTTGGAGAGCACTCGGGGGGCATCTCTCCACAGGTGGTTGCTGGTTTCTCCTTCAAACCTTAGGAGTCAAAGCAGCAGCTTGTCAGATTGGTCTTGTCCCCAAACACCCAGAGAGGTCAGCAAGAATGGTGCACATGGAAGCAATGTGAAGGGCTGGGCTTGGGCTGTGGCTGGGCTTCAGGGGGAAATGTGCTGAATCCAAAATTTTCTCTCTGCTGTGTGGTTTCCCCTACACAGAAACCACGAGCTGGTACTAAGGAACATTGCTTCTTTTAAATAATGACATCATTAGTAAAAATCTGGGATTTCATTTCATGAGACAGTTTCAAACAAAAAGAGAGACTTGAATCGTGAAGAGACTGTTTAATTTAACTAGCAATTATATTTGCTTAAAAATAAACAATGTGTGGAACGGTTTGATGAGCAGCATGCGCTAGCACAGCAGGAGCAGCAGCTGCCTGGGCTGCGCTGTGCTTCCCACACGGCATGGTGGCAACAGGGACCTGCTCAGAGAGGCTGAGCCTTCCCCAGAGCTGAGCCTGCTTACTGACTGCCTTCCCCCTGGTAGGGTCATGTTTAATAAAATCTCACATCACGCTTAAAATAAACGTCCGTGCTCTTTTTCCTGCTGCTACAGTTGTTACAGCAGCAAGACACTGCAGCTGAGAGCAGGACCAGCCTCATGGCCCTGCAGGCATGAGGTGGTCCCTGCACTGAGGACATTGCAGGCTAAATGGGCTGAGCACATCACTCAGAGCATTCAAGGTGCTGAGCTCCTCTCAGGAAGCCCCGAGAGTTGAATCGTCTTTTCAAAGCACAGCTTGGGCAGGTTAGAGCTTGACAGTGAGCCGAAGTGTGCTGCTTTCCTCATTCCAGCCCTGCCATTGAGCGTGTGGGTGCTGAGCCGTGGCAGGAGTTAACTCAGATGGGAGGATGGGCAAGAGACATTTATTTCAGTTTTGGTGTATGAAAAGCATTTAGCATAAAACATTTAATGCTGGTTGTTAATTTTTTATATCAGGCATGTAAAGTGGTAAGGGAATGAATCAGTCATGCAGCTCCATGGCATGGGGGAACTGCAGACACGGGTACAGGGGCAGCATGAGCAGAGCAGGGCTGTGAGTGCTGTGCAGCACGGGCCTGCCTGCGCACCACCCCGCTCTGTCAGCACAGCGGCCCCCCTCCAGCTGCCCCTGCTGCACCCCGTGGCAGCACTGCCATGGCTGAGCCCTCCAACCTGCAGCTGCACCGGGTTCTGCTGTACCAGTATGGCAGGTCCTGGGGCTGCTTTGCTGGCTGACCCTCGTTGGAGCTGCAACGTTCAGAGCCCTGTGAATGTGCAGCAGGTACACAGGGGATGAATGCCATTGTTTGCTCTGATGTAGTAAATTCCTTTTGTCTCATTAGGGATGTGACAAGAAAGCCATGGTTTGGGATATGCGGTCTGGTCAGTGTATCCAGTCATTTGAAACCCATGATTCAGATATCAACAGCGTCAGGTCAGTATGTTTGTGGGAGAGGACACATTTGCGATGTTGAGCCGTGCACTGGTTCTATTTTTGAAGCTTGGCCTCATCCAAATAATAATGTAATTAATGTATCCTGGTCTCTCTCTCTCTCTTTCTTTTTTTTTTTTTAAACTCATGCACAGATATTACCCAAGTGGAGATGCTTTTGCCTCTGGTTCAGACGATGCTACGGTATGTCAATTCAGCAACGTAATTTAGGGCAGTTCTGTTACCTCCCAAGTAATATTTTCCTAAAAGGAAAAATATTCTCAGAAGTCTCTAAGTGGCTAAACTGGGCCTTTGACACCAGTATTGAAAAAACAATAATGCTTTATTATAATATATATTAAATACTGTTCATAGTGCTATAGGAAAAATCTAGTAATGCTTTGTAGGTCACCTCTGCAAAGTTTTCTACATGAGGTACAAATACTCTGTTTTCTATGTTTTGAAGTTTCATGATCAAAATGAGTTGTCTTACTGGAAGAGATTTGGCTTCGAGTAGTTGTTGGTCACAGTACGGGAGGAACCAGATAAACCCTGTGCTTGTCAGCACAGTGCAAGGCACGAAGAGAGCCTGAGCACAGGCGTGCACCTCCCAGGCAGCGGAGGTGCCGTGGGCTTAGTGTGGCTCTGGGCAGGTGCAGCCAGCCGGCCTCCGCAGCTCTCTGCATCCTGAGAGCCCAGCGCCAGGTTGGCCCTGGATGTTCTTCTCCCTGACAGCCTGAGTCACTGTCGCTTTTCACTGCCATGAGTCACTGCATCCAGGTCATGCTCGAGGATACGATAGCCCTTCCTGGACCTTCTGAGCAAGCTGCTAGCAGAGTACATGCTGCCTGTACGTACTGACAGGCAGTGTTGGTCTGTACACTGCATGCAAGATGCCACCTACCTCCCGGTGCCCTCAGGCCCCCTCTGATGTGCGTGGCCAGGGTCTCACTGCAGCTGCTGGGTCGCCAGGGGGACGATGCTCTCTGCCTGTATCACAGCCCTGTAGGAGCTGAGCTGGCAGTGTGTAACTCAAGAGCAGACCTTCAGGAGGCGCCTGGCACCTTATTTCTCTGGCTTATTCAAACATACTGAGCTGTGTGAAGACCATGAACCTTTCTAAAGCACTGTGCCCTAGGAGCATGTTTTGAGACTACTCCCAAACTGCCTGAGCTCAATAGAAACATTCCCTGTTTCTTTACTGGATGTGGGGACCCTCAAGCTGCTATTTTAAATGTATACCTCCACTTCTGTGGCAAGTCTCTGCACATTTGGGTGCAGTACAGTGAGCATTTGAGATGCTGAGAGAGTGAAAAGGAGAAATTGTCCATCATTAAATTCCAATGAGAGTGCTCTCTTTTTATGCCCTGTACCACAGGCTCTGGGCTCCCGTTTTTTTTTTTTCTTCTTTTTTTTTTTCCTCTGTTAAGTACTCCTGATGCCCCTGACCTGAGTAGGAGAATGGGAAATTCCACCTTTGTAATTTTGTCAGAGGTTTTGGCAGTTTCCGTCTCTGTCATTGTTTAAGTGGAGAGGCTGGGGTTTGCAGTGTTGGGGCTGGTACGCCGCTGGGTGCTTTGACCTGATGCGTCTGCTGAGGGATTTCGAGGAGCACGTAATTCTGACTGTCTGGAGGGAAGCCATAAAAGCATGCTCACACAGCAGTGCTGTCACCTGTGGTGACCCTGGCTCCCGATCGGGACAGTCTGATAGAATTAATCATCGGTGTGGAGCACTGGCAGGCTGGGCTCCACATACCTTGCAGCTTCCCACGGCCCTGCCAGTGAAACAGCCTCTCCTTTATGTGCAGGCGTGCATATCAGCCCTTTTTCATGGGTAAAGTGTTAATATTAACAAATCCAGCTGCCCAGTGTTTGTTTAAGCTTACCATATTAAGGAAGGTTTTCAGTTCAGTTGGTTTCAAATTTTGATTTCAGGGCTAACAGGCTGCCATTCCGAATGGCAACGAAGTCCGGTCTGTCTATGCATTATTGCATGTTAATCAAGCCGAAGTATGCTGGCAATAGATAAAAACAGGAAGTCAAGATTGCGGAGGTGATGGGGGATTTTCCATAAGAAAGGAAAATGAAAGATCTGTAGGAAAGTGTAGCATTTCACTTAAGTTATTTTCATGCGTTTTTTCAGACACTCACAGCAGGCTGCTTGCTCTCCTTTCTTACAGCAAGGAGCAGTATTTGGGCTGCTCCCCCTGCCATGGGACTGCCGTGAGCACCGAGCTGTGTGGGCAGTGTTACCAAAGCTGTGTCTCCAAGGCTCCAGTTACGGCTGAACTGTTGTCCTTAGGAGCTGTGTCCCCATGCACAGCCGGTCAGTAAGCAGCAGGATACCCTAACACACGGGAAACCACAGTGGGGAACTGAGAGAGTAGGCTGAGAGCAGGAGAAATTTCAGTAGGTGTCCATGGTCCGAACACCACCACTTCTCCCTTTATAGCAGGAAAGAAAGAAGGCTTAGAGAAAAGGTTTGGAAAAGCAAGTTCTTTGCTCAGTTTATACAAAACTGCCTTGTGGTGTTGCCTGTTAACCTCCAGAGGAGTCCCAGTTACAGCAGGCAAAAGTAACAAAAGGAGAGAAGCCAAGCAGCCATCTCCTGTGATGCCTGCTAGGCTGCAGGCAGTCCTTCCAGCTCTCATTTTTTCAGTGAAAGCTAGCCATTGACTGCAGGCTTTACTGAGGCACGTGTTGTTTTTGTTTTAATCCTAGTGTCGTTTATATGACCTTCGTGCAGACAGAGAAGTAGCAATTTATTCCAAAGAGAGCATCATTTTTGGAGCATCCAGTGTGGACTTCTCTCTCAGTGGTGAGACCTGAACTTCAAAGGTTATTGTGGTGTTGGGATTTGTGGCACACCGTAAAATTTTGTCAGTTTAATTTGATAAAGCATTTCAAAACCAGCACTAGATACCAAAATCATTCTCTGTAAAATAAATAAATGAATTACTCTTTAAATTATCTAGCTGGCTATTGCTTCATTGTAGCAATGAAAAGCATTTTTCTGGCTATAATGAAGGCGCAGATATTTTGCTATTAACTACAGCTGGGCTAGAACTTCACAGTAATGATTAAAAACATTTCAAAGGAAACATGAAGTGTAACTCGGATATTAAGCGCGCTTACATAAATAGTTTATAAAAGGATAATAAATGATTAATAGATAGTAAAAGTACGTTAAGGATCACAAAGACGGAGCCATTACCATACTTCCCTGCAGATGCAGAGACGTGAGCTTGGGTCTTCCCTCTGCTGCCTTCCACCCCTGCTCCTCTGGTCAGCCTGCGTGGGGACGAGCGGGTGGCTGCCCTCTGCCCAGGGCACAGGCACATGTCTCTCTGTGCATGTCACAGGCACCACAGCTTGTCCCACTGGGGACTGCGAATTAATTACCAAATTGTCTACTAATTGTTCAGCCATTTGTATTCAATTCCTTGAGTAAAGTCTAAGCAAAGTATTATCAGCCTTGATAAGCCGTTGAAGTGCTGTTCAGTCTGATGTGGTTTGGACTGATCCCGTCTCTAAAGTCCGAGCAGATTCTATATAACTTAGCTCAACTTTAGCTATGTTTTCGACTAACTCATTTTATAAATAGTTCAGCGTTTAGTAAGGATAACTCAGCAGTGAAGCAGGTGTGCCTAACAGGAGCATAAGTCTGGGGGAAGCAGTGGCCAGGGCTCACGGTACGCAGAGGGCAGCTGTGTATGCCAGTACGGGAAAGTTTGCTGCTCACGGGGAGTTCAGTGTCCTGCAGAAAGCCCTTGCTGGAGTAAAGATGTTACCCACTTAAGAGTTTATTTTTGAATTCTCATTCTCTTTGTAGGTCGTCTGCTGTTTGCGGGTTATAATGATTACACCATCAATGTCTGGGATGTGCTGAAAGGGTCCCGTGTGTCTATTCTGTTTGGACATGAAAATCGTGTCAGCACCTTGCGGGTGTCTCCTGACGGGACGGCATTCTGCTCAGGGTCCTGGGACCACACTCTCCGAGTAAGCACTGGGAGCACCTGGCTTGGGTGCTTGCTGGTTTGTTTGCTTGTTTTTAAAAAAGTGGGGGGGAAGGGTTATTACAGGAAAATCGACTCTAGGAGGGACTAACGAGAATATAAAACCTGCAGTGTAAAACATGAACAGAAAATTCAAATTAAAAAATCCCCACAAAGGGCTAGAAGAACTGTTGAAGTTGAGGGAATTTTGAACTTGCTTGTTAAATGTCATTGCTGCTGATAATCTGTGCCATTAATCTGACTGCTTGCCAAATTTTAATGAAGTATTTGGGGGAACAGTCAACAAATTGAATAAATGATTGTTCAATTTTCTTTCTGCAGATCTGGGCTTAACGTGAGATCCTGTATGCAGAATCAAATGAAGACCTGGACTATGAAAACATCATAAAAATACCCCCCTAATAATCAGATATTCACTACACTACAGAAGAGTGACACCGAACCCACAGATTAACACAGCTAGATAGAACATGTAATCTGCTTGAACACGTAGCAAACATCAACTTGTAGTAAAATGAAATGGTTTTAATTCTGTTTTGAATCTACTTTTATTAGAACTAGTTTAGCTAATTATGAAGGGACCTTTCTCTGAAGTTATCTGTATCATAGAAATGAGTATTTCAGTGCACATTATGTATTTATTTGCATGGTTTGAGTTCATTTTCAAAGCAAAAAAAAAAAAAAAAGATTCCTGATTTTATCAGGGTGTAGCATAAGACTTGGGAAGCATTCCATAGTAGTGCATTGAATTCTGGTGTTGAAAAGTGGGAAGAAAAGCAACTCTGACACTTTATGATGGCATGGATACTTTATGGACGACTGAACCTCTGAACCTCGGTAGTAAGTAGAGGCCCTACTGTGAAGTTGCTGGCTGTTGTCATAAAAATGTATTTTTTGTACAAAAAAAAGAATCCTTTCAATCCCCATTTTTTCCTACCGTCTTTTTAGGTAGAAATAAGTATTTCATCTCTGTTATCTGAATATAAAAAATCTAGATATATACAATATAATAAACTGCAAATATGAGGAATATAAACATGATTTACATAATCATGAGGTAATATTTAACCAGTAGTTTCTTAGAAATTTTTAATTGTATCACTTGGTGAGTGAATTTTCTTTTACTTAAAGGATGCTACATGCTAAGCACTGAGGGATACTACACGCTAAGCTCTAACCACCGTTATACTGATGGTCAAATCTTTTCCAAGTCAGTCATAGTCATTCTGTGATCACGATTCTCGCTTGCATTTTGAGCCATTCACACCGCTTTTGCAGGTAGCCTTAAATGTGCTTTAAGGCAGTGTATTTCCATTTAAAGATCCTTTTGCAACATCAGAACAGTGTAAGTCCTAGCAAATGCAGGCCAAACCTTACAAGCCAACCTGCACAGTCCTTACTCTAACAGCTCTCATACTGAAGCGAGACAGTTCTGCAGTAGCTGGACTTGAGAATGAAAAACAGTAAGCTGTTGAAGACGTGCTGAGAGCCACAGTCCTGCCAGCATTTAATACTGGGCTCACCAGAGTGCAAGCCCATCAGGGAGCAGCTGGCAGGACTATCCCCATGCAGAGCTGATGCTGTAGAAGATTTATTCAGATAAAGCTGAGACGGAGTTAATTATAGAACCATTTGAAAATTATATCTGCATTCCTACATTGAGAACGATTGAGACTGGAGCGTGTCACCTTTGCTTATACTGACAGGAGAGAAGTGCTGGAGTAATGCTGGGGGTTTGCACAGCCTGCCCTTCAAAATGCAAGTGATAAGATGCATCTCTGAAAAGATCAAAGATAGGATTTATATTTAGATTGAAACAAGATGAAACAAGCAATCACTGGAGTTGGCTGTTCACGTAAGTTTGATGATAATATCCTCATTCTATTCTAAAACAGGATTTAAAAATATATACAGATTTATAAAGTTGTACCAGAAACAGTCTCCTCGTTCATAAAAACATCAGGTTCCATGAATCCATAACCAGTTAAATTAGAACACTGACATTTGTATCAGCCTTCAATCCCTAATGCAATTTCTGTTGGTTTTGCTTGGAAAAGTAAGCTCTGTTGCTTTGGAATATTTGTGGCAAGCTATCCCTGTAACAAACTGAATGCACTATGGAAATTGTAATGTTATATATAGATAGCTCACTGTGCAATATCGAGTCAATACACTGTACACATTTGGTCAAAAGATGAATATTAATGTTTAGATAGTATTTATTGGTAAGATACTTGTTCCAAACATACTACATTGTGTTGATACTTATGAATGGCCTAAATACAATAAATTGTATTTTACATACTGAGAACACACATGTTGTCATTGTTACATCAGTCAGGTACTTGCAATGGTAGCGGTTGTTTTCTGTTTCTTTGGCAATTACTTTTTGCAGCATACAGCTTCTTAGGTCATTTGTTCTGCAAAAATCTAGAGTGAAATCCAGATCTACCGGACAAGTGCTTTTGGAATACCTTCTAGTAATACCCGCCACAACAACTGCGAGAGCAGCCCTTGAAAATACTTGAGCCTCCGTCTGAGCTCCTTCTGTATTCAGCAGGCCAGAATTCAGGTTGTGTTTTCCTTCTCAGAAGGTTCATAGCTAACATGTGATGTTTTCTTTCCAGAAATGACCGTACCCAGGAATGTACTGGAAAATGCAAAGTATGTGCTTTGCGAGAGCACGGGATTGTCCTCATGTTACAGCGCGACGCCAGTGAGAGCAGGGCACTGAAATGCTGTCGAGGGCCCAGGCTGTCGCTGTTTGGGTAAATCCTGTTTGCAGCTCATGCTGAGGTACAGCAGTTCAGCTTTCTGCCTTGTCAGTAGAGGAGAATTGTGCTGGGATCAGCTGTCCTCCTTGCTTTAAAGGTTTTGTGGTCAGCACGAGGGCTGTTGGTGGAAGTGCTCAGTTCAGACACTGGCAAAAGCAGCACCTTAATTTAGGCACATTGTTTCATTTCCTTTCCTTTCCTCTGAGGAGCTGGGGAAAATGCTGAGCCAGCTTACTCCAAGTGACATCAGTGCCCAAACTGTCTCCAGTTTCGGTGAGGATGAGACTGACGCTGGATTTTGCACTTGTGTCCTTGCAGGGAGAAATCCCATGGGCATGACTTCAGCACCACTACCTGTGGTCTCCTAAGCAGGGCTGCAGGGACTCAGCACCTTTTTGTTGGTGAAAGCTGTGAACCAGGACAGGCCTGAACTTCCCGTCAGATAAAGGAAGACAGCGAAACAGGGCACTAAAATATCCAAAGTGTCTCTGACTTGCTAAGGTCGGCCAGGGAGGCTTCAGAAAAGCCTTTTCCTTTTGGAAAAGCGAAGTAGCAGCGTCACAGCGCAGAACCCCAGCACCGGCCCTACCTTTCCGATGACCTCAGCCCGAGCCAGGAGGTAAAGGCGAAGCAGTCCTGAAAAGCTATGCCAGCTGGCCATAGCCAAGGGAAAAGTATGGTGTACGAGGGAAGCTGCAGGTCAGGCAGAGGCACTGTCAGACAGCTCCATCCTGCTGAACAAAAATGTCGTATAAACAGGAAGGGTGGAAGAGGATATTGCTAGAGAAATAGCAACCTCTCCCTCTTGCTCTCCTGCCGTGAGGAATGCAATAGGAAATTCCTGCTCCAGGATTAACAATTGTAAGGAAAACTCTAGTTAAAAAGCATGTGTGTTAGGCACTGGTGAAAAGTTACATGATTATTCCAGCTACTGCTCTAGCACATAGACACAGACTAGATTTTTCCAGTTAAAAACGCCAAATATGGGGATGTAAAACTACGAGTTTGCTTTAGGAACGACTCTAAGAGAGCAGGCCAATTCTTGATAGTGATCTGAGAAACTGCAACAGGATTGATTCCAACCATCTATTTTTAGATCTGCTAACTGGGCTTATCAGGGATCGCTGTATGGAAGCGTAAAACCAAGACAGCTGTAATTCCAGGCAGGTGAAGGTGAGCGATCCCGTGCCGGAGCGCTGGGCACCTGGAGCACGCTGTGTGCCGCGAGGCTGCCCCAGGCTGCTGCAGGACGAGGGCACGGGCCAGGCCCAGGCAGCTGCAGCAGCACCTGCAGGAGGTGGCCGCGCTGTGCTGCGGGAGGCACAAGCACGGTGCGTGTGGCTGTGTCGGTACCTGCTGCAGGCCCTGCTGTAAGTCTCGGGGCCGGCGTTATGAGCTCGGATGACCTGCCAAGCAGCGAGCAGCACTCAGGGCTCGGCGGGTGCCGCGGGGATGCGCGGGGGGGCTCCAGCAGCCACCAGCACCGGGGCCCTGCCCTCAGCAGCAGCGCTGGGCCCGGCCTTTGGGATCCCCCAGCGCTGCCCAAACCCAACCGCGGGGGCCCCAGAACCGCTCATCCCGCAGCGCCCGCACCCCGCGGCTCCTCCGGCGCACACAGCGGGGGCCGGGGCCAGGCGCGGGGCCGTCCCCAAGCCTCGGGGGGGCCGCAGCCGCTCCGCCGCCGGCTCCGAGCCCCGGGGCGGGGCGGGGCGGGGCGGGGCGGGGCCGAGCGGCCGGGCCGGGCCGGGCCGGGCCGTGCGGGCGGCGGCGGCGGCGGCGGGGGCGGAGGGGCCGCCCCGCCTCTTAGTCGGCGGCAGCTGCTGCGGGGCCGCAGCCGCCCGGGGCCGCCGCCGCCGCCATGCCGGGCTCGCTGAAGGAGGAGACGGCGCTGCTGCTGCAGGATTACTTCCAGCACCGCGGCGGCGGCACCGCGCTGCCGCCCAGCGCCACGGCGGCCACGCTGCGGCGGGCGGCGGCCGAGCTGGAGCGGCGCGAGCGGCCCTTCTTCCGCTCCTGCGCGCCGCTCGCCCGGGCCGAGCCGCGGGAGGCGGCGGCGCTGCTGCGGCGGGTGGCGGCGCAGCTGGAGGCCGACGGCGGCCTCAACTGGGGCCGGCTGCTGGCGCTCGTCGTGTTCGCCGGCACGCTGGCGGCCGCGCTGGCCGAGCGGGGCTGCGGGGACGGCCCGCACCGCCTGGCCGAGGCGCTGGCCGCCTACCTGGCCGAGGAGCGCGGCGAGTGGCTGCGGGAGCACGGCGGATGGGTGAGCGGGGCTGGGGGGGGCTGGGAGGAGGCGAGGGGGTTCAGGCGTCGCCTCCCCGCGGGCAGCGCCGGGCTGGGCGCCGTGTGGGGCCGGGGGAGCGCGGGGCGGGGCTGTGTGGGGCGGTGTGGGGCTGTGTGGGGCTGTGTGGTGTGGTGCGTGCCCCCGGGTGAAGCCCCGCGGCTCTCGGCCCCGCCTGCTGTAGGGCCGCTGGGGTTGGGGGCTCCTGGGGCCAGGGGCTGCAGCCTCGCGGCGTGGAGCGGTGGCAGCTGGCGAGGTACCTGCTGGAAGGAGCGTGCTTCAGGCGTCCCAGCGGCTCCGCCTGCGTTTGCAAGCAAGCTGTCAGCTGTCCCAGAGAGCTTTAAATTTCCTGCTCTCAGAACTGGCATCAAATATTCCCCTGGTACAAATAAGCGCTAAAGATAAAAGGGAGGGGGGAGGGCGAGCCGTTGACTTTTCCAGAGGCCGCAGTGAGCTTGGTTTTCCAGTGGTCGCTCGTCCGTCCGAACGTTAGGAGCGATGTGGGGGTGGTTGTGATGTGCGCTGACACTTAGCAGAATCACATCGCCTGTTCGCACAAATTAGAGTGTAAAGAACAAAGTTCCGGAAGAAATTAAGAGTATAACTTGTTTACATAGACATCTGCTGAACAGAGTTCAAACATGACCATCTGGAGTTGTATTACTGCCACGTCTGATTATCACAAATACAGATCTGGTAGAGCAGCTGCCAGCTTTGCTCTGTCATAGGTCAGCCCTGAGCAGCATCCACTTGGCCCTTCCAAGAGAATATGTAATCAGAGGCATGCATTGACCGAGATGGGACAAGCTTCAGGCTCCTGTCTTTAAGTGGAAATTTCCATATCCTGTGTTTCAGGTACATTCTGAAACTTAAATGAGGGGGAACAATACTGGCAGCTGTGATCAGAAGCTTGCTTAAGAGGGTGCAAATAACATAGTGACATGCTGAACATCTTGATGGGAACCTCACCATTGTCTTTTGAGCAAGGCGTGCAAGCACATCTAGCTATTGCCCTCAGTCTTTTTCAAAGGCTCACACAAAGCGTTTTCATGTGCTGAAGACAATAGGGCTTAGACTTTCATGATCAAAATAGAGATTTCTGCAGTTGACAGGCAGTGTGCTTGGATTGTGAACTGAACTGTATTCAAAGACATGTTCTTTTTTTTTTTTTAAAAAAAAAGAAAAAAGAAAAACCACACACAACTGATTATTAAGCCAACCAACTCAATATCCTTTCTCTTGCTTTTCTAGGATGGCTTCTGTCGCTTCTTCGGCAGGCATGGCTCTCAACCAGCTGACCAGAACAGTACCATAAGCAATGCTATAATGGCAGCAGCAGGGTTTGGAATAGCAGGATTAGCTTTCCTCTTGGTGGTGCGATAGGCTGATGAACGGATCTTGCGATGGGAAAGTACTCTCAAACTGACATTTTACCAGATCTCATTCTATTTTCTATAGAGCAGACCCTCAAAGAAGAAGTTTATATTTTTAAACTGTCTCGGAAAAGTGGTGCACCGAATCCTTGGCTGTAGACTGCTTCACTTGATATCCAGTAGCATCACAAACAAATGCGTACTAAACGACCATTTGTTCATGTTCAAAACCTGTCACCTCCAAATACCCTTTGGACTTTCTTTTTGCAGGTTTAACCTAAATGTTACCACGGTTCATGTACTGTAACTTCTGAGTACTCAATGTTATGCTAAGAAAAAGCTATGGTGGACTTGGAACTAAACCCTCTGTTCAAGCCGTCTTATTTAAATGGAAGCGAGTCTCAGAACTTGCCTTCCATTAATACTGTAACATGGGCTAATGTCAACTGTGATATAACATGGTTTGTGGCTTCAAACGCGGTGCCCAGCGCTTGTTCCTGAAAGGCAACTCATTGGTTGATTTAGAGCAATTAGTACCCATGATGTGAGAGGCATTGTGGCTTGATATAACATAAGGCTGACTTCATGACACTACAAGAATATAAGTATTGATACAGGACCGTAATGGCTGCAGTACCCGTTCTTACTGAAAGGAATTTAAATATTAAACCTTAATTGGTATAGTGAAATCCAGTGGAGGCTGGAATTTCTCTGGATTTCCCTGACAAAACAAGATTTTCCATATATCTTAATATATTTTTGAAGTATTTATCACTGTATAATACTTGTAGCCATGACATCTTTATTTTTGTTTAAAATTTCATTTTTAATGCTGGTTCTTCTCACTCTAATGTGTATCAAGCATTGTCTTGTTTGAGTAATA